GGATATACAGGGAATGCAAAGATTGATAAGATTCTTAATCTGCTTAAATATCGAAAGAATGTAATTTGTTGTCTAATGGGAGTGTATGGTGTGACTATCATTAGTCTTTCTGTATTTTTCTGCGCTCGCCTGTTGTTGATGAGTTCATGTTGCATTTTACAAAATGCTCAATGTTATTGTTGATGATGTGCAAAGGATAGTCCCTTAGTACTAATATCTAAGTATTTCAGTTCTTTTTGTAGGTTGTTAAGTTGTAATGATAGTGCAGTATCTGAGAGCTTGGCTGTATATGGTGCCCGGTATAAAAGGTGTGGGATGATGTGAATCATAATGAAGTAGCCCCATTGTGTCAGTTAGTTTTTGTTAGATGGTCATGTGAATGTTCCCTTGTTGATTTTTGTACAGTAATATGTCTAGAAAGTTTATTGATGTCGCTGAGTGATTAAAAGTGAATTCGATTGTTTGATAGATGGTGTTCATGTAGTTGCAGATTTGACAAAAAATCTAACAAAAAACTACAAAAGTAATTTTTTCAATATCAAAACTGTCATACAAAGATAGACTTAAAGCATTATGATTGTTACTTATTTAAAGATAGACTTAAAGCATTATGATTGTTACTTATTTAAAGATAGACTTAAAGCATTATGATTGTAACTGATTTAAAGATAGACTTAAAGCATTATGATTGTTACTTATTTAAAGATAGACTTAAAGCATTATGATTGTTACTTATTTAAAGATAGACTTAAAGCATTATGATTGTTACTTATTTAAAGATAGACTTAAAGCATTATGATTGTTACTTATTTAAAGATAGACTTAAAGCATTATGATTGTTACTTATTTAAAGATAGACTTAAAGCATTATGATTGTTACTTATTTAAAGATAGACTTAAAGCATTATGATTGTTACTTATTTAAAGATAGACTTAAAGCATTATGATTGTTACTTATTTAAAGACTTAAAGCATTATGATTGTTACTTATTAAAAGATAGACTTAAAGCATTATGATTGTTACTTATTTAAAGACTTAAAGCATTAGGATTGTTACTTATTTAAAGATAGACTTAAAGCATTATGATTGTTACTTATTTAAAGATAGACTTAAAGCATTATGATTGTTACTTATTTAAAGATAGACTTAAAGCATTATGATTGTTACTTATTTAAAGATAGACTTAAAGCATTATGATTGTTACTTATTTAAAGATAGACTTAAAGCATTATGATTGTTACTTATTTAAAGATAGACTTAAAGCATTATGATTGTTACTTATTTAAAGATAGACTTAAAGCATTATGATTGTTACTTATTTAAAGATAGACTTAAAGCATTATGATTGTTACTTATTTAAAGATAGACTTAAAGCATTATGATTGTTACTTATTTAAAGATAGACTTAAAGCATTATGATTGTTACTTATTTAAAGATAGACTTAAAGCATTATGATTGTTACTTATTTAAAGATAGACTTAAAGCATTATGATTGTTACTTATTTAAAGATAGACTTAAAGCATTATGATTGTTACTTATTTAAAGATAGACTTAAAGCATTATGATTGTTACTTATTTAAAGATAGACTTAAAGCATTATGATTGTTACTTATTTAAAGATAGACTTAAAGCATTATGATTGTTACTTATTTAAAGATAGACTTAAAGCATTATGATTGTTACTTATTTAAAGACTTAAAGCATTAGGATTGTTACTTATTTAAAGATAGACTTAAAGCATTATGATTGTTACTTATTTAAAGACTTAAAGCATTATGATTGTTACTTATTTAAAGATAGACTTAAAGCATTATGATTGTTACTTATTTAAAGACTTAAAGCATTATGATTGTTACTTATTTAAAGACTTAAAGCATTATGATTGTTACTTATTTAAAGATAGACTTAAAGCATTATGATTGTTACTTATTTAAAGACTTAAAGCATTATGATTGTTACTTATTTAAAGATAGACTTAAAGCATTATGATTGTTACTTATTTAAAGATAGACTTAAAGCATTATGATTGTTACTTATTTAAAGATAGACTTAAAGCATTATGATTGTTACTTATTTAAAGATAGACTTAAAGCATTATGATTGTTACTGATTTAAAGATAGACTTAAAGCATTATGATTGTTACTTATTTAAAGACTTAAAGCATTATGATTGTTACTTATTTAAAGATAGACTTAAAGCATTATGATTGTTACTTATTTAAAGATAGACTTAAAGCATTATGATTGTTACTTATTTAAAGATAGACTTAAAGCATTATGATTGTTACTTATTTAAAGATAGACTTAAAGCATTATGATTGTTACTTATTTAAAGATAGACTTAAAGCATTATGATTGTTACTTATTTAAAGATAGACTTAAAGCATTATGATTGTTACTTATTTAAAGATAGACTTAAAGCATTATGATTGTTACTTATTTAAAGATAGACTTAAAGCATTATGATTGTTACTTATTTAAAGATAGACTTAAAGCATTATGATTGTTACTTATTTAAAGATAGACTTAAAGCATTATGATTGTTACTTATTTAAAGATAGACTTAAAGCATTATGATTGTTACTTATTTAAAGATAGACTTAAAGCATTATGATTGTTACTTATTTAAAGATAGACTTAAAGCATTATGATTGTTACTTATTTAAAGATAGACTTAAAGCATTATGATTGTTACTTATTTAAAGATAGACTTAAAGCATTATGATTGTTACTTATTTAAAGATAGACTTAAAGCATTATGATTGTTACTTATTTAAAGATAGACTTAAAGCATTATGATTGTTACTTATTTAAAGATAGACTTAAAGCATTATGATTGTTACTTATTTAAAGATAGACTTAAAGCATTATGATTGTTACTTATTTAAAGATAGACTTAAAGCATTATGATTGTTACTTATTTAAAGATAGACTTAAAGCATTATGATTGTTACTTATTTAAAGATAGACTTAAAGCATTATGATTGTTACTTATTTAAAGATAGACTTAAAGCATTATGATTGTTACTTATTTAAAGATAGACTTAAAGCATTATGATTGTTACTTATTTAAAGATAGACTTAAAGCATTATGATTGTTACTTATTTAAAGATAGACTTAAAGCATTATGATTGTTACTTATTTAAAGATAGACTTAAAGCATTATGATTGTTACTTATTTAAAGATAGACTTAAAGCATTATGATTGTTACTTATTTAAAGATAGACTTAAAGCATTATGATTGTTACTTATTTAAAGATAGACTTAAAGCATTATGATTGTTACTTATTTAAAGATAGACTTAAAGCATTATGATTGTTACTTATTTAAAGATAGACTTAAAGCATTATGATTGTTACTTATTTAAAGATAGACTTAAAGCATTATGATTGTTACTTATTTAAAGATAGACTTAAAGCATTATGATTGTTACTTATTTAAAGATAGACTTAAAGCATTATGATTGTTACTTATTTAAAGATAGACTTAAAGCATTATGATTGTTACTTATTTAAAGATAGACTTAAAGCATTATGATTGTTACTTATTTAAAGATAGACTTAAAGCATTATGATTGTTACTTATTTAAAGATAGACTTAAAGCATTATGATTGTTACTTATTTAAAGATAGACTTAAAGCATTATGATTGTTACTTATTTAAAGATAGACTTAAAGCATTATGATTGTTACTTATTTAAAGATAGACTTAAAGCATTAGGATTTTACTCTGATTGAGAGATCATTATATCGAGAGAATTATTTGATCGAGAGGATCATTAGTGACATGATACATTAGTGACATGATACATTAGTGACATGATACAGCAGTTTAAAATAATATGCACCAAAATTGGTTTGATCACCCACTAAAATTGCGTCCCTCCTATTTGTGTGATGAACTAGCTAGTGGTTTCTTGATGTTATGCTATTCAAAATAAATTGTAAAGCATCGCAAACAGAGGCAAAATTTCTTCACAAATCATATAGTCAGACAATGGAGCTCTTTTCCAGGGAAAATTATTGATGCTCCAGATTTAAAAAAGCTTAAGGAAATATATAATCCTCATGTTGCAATGAAGAAAAATTACAGGCTGAGTTAGTATTATTTGTGTTATAACAAGAATAAAGTGATTTTCTTTTGTATTTTTTTGTAGCTTGACTTGGTTTTTAAAAAGAATATTTAAGTTTTTATAAATTGTACAATGTACATAAACGAGTTTTGGTTCTGTACAGGAATGCTAATACTATTCTTTTTTTGTAAAATTACCTATTCAGAAAATATATTTATCTATCAAATCTAATTTTTTTTAAATAAAACACTAATTTTTATCAACGGATTTTATTTAATAAAACCCTAATTTTTATTATAAAATATAATACATTTGACAGTTTTAAATGATAAACACCATTTTGAACAACTTTTTAAACGCTGCCATGTCCCTGGTACTTGTTTCTCTGATCAACAGCCAGTTTGCAAGTTACGTGTTTTAAAGTTAAAGGGTTGAGATAGTAACAACAATTAAAAAAAAATGTTTTTATGTATGCATGTAAGTAAAAAAATTCTCATTCAACTGTTGTCTCCTTTAACTGTTGCCTCCTGTTGTCTCCTTCAACTGTTGCTCCCTTGGCCTTGAGGGAGTAAAAACAGTAAAAAAATCAATTTATTTGTTTCATTGTTGCATCATATCCTTTATTAGACAATAATAACATCTTATAAAAAGCAAAAACATGGGATTATTTTTAGATTGCTTTTTTCTCATTTATTCTCAGTTTATTTACATCATTTAATACAAACTTAAATACTTTTTCTTGTTTATTCAAATTTATCTTCTAATTACTACCCTTTTAATATAAAAATTGGTTGAGATAATTATTTAATATAAAAATTAGCTAAATAAAGATAATTTATTTAAATATAAAAAAATTAGCTAATAATATATAATGAAATAGCTAAAAGATAACTTTAAACTATTTAAAAAAAAAAAAAAAATACTTGAAAGATATGTCCAGCTTCTTGTTTTACTTCGATACTCTTAGAAGAAATATCAACAGCACCATCAATAGTTTTTTTTGCTTGAGACTGTGAAAAATCTTCATATAGCTTCACCTTAATTTCAAGAATAAATATATTTCATATATTTACAACTTATTATACAATTTTTATCTTTAGTTAATAAACTATACTTTTTTATTATTTATTTAGTAATTTATATGTTTGCAATAGCAAATTAAAAAAAAAAAAAAAAAGGTGAAGATAAGTTAAATTTTTTTTTCAATTTAACTTCTTTGTCAGCTTTATTTAAGGAGATTTTGTTAAAGTTTAAACTTTAAATGCATAATAGTTTTTTTCATTTTTTGATCGACTTTTATTGAATTTTATTTTATTGTTGTTTTAGAAATAAAGACATTTTCAGTATCTTTTTGTTTTAAAGCAGCTAGTCATGCAGTTTTTAAAATAATTTTTTTTTGAGAATCAATTTAGTTTTGTCGATAATCATGTAAAGGGTCTTTATACAAAAACTATTTGGTTCTTAGCCAGTACTCTAACTACTGTGCCATGGCTGCTAACAAATGAAAATATAGACAAATGTATAAAAAATAAAATATATATAGATTTAAAAAAATTGTTGATTGCTTACAAACTATTTTTTATTGATATAAAAATATATAAAAAAGTATTATGTTCAATAAAAAACTAAAGAAAGAATTAGTGAAACAACTGATATAAAACTGATGATAGAGCGCGTCTTATTTACAAACAAAAAAACAAACAAAGCACAAAACAATAACATAAAACTTTAAAAAGTGTAAAAACAACATATATTGAAATCACTAAAAGTAGACAGAAAGAGCAATATAACCAGTTTTTATATTACAATACTTAATTCTAAATAGCTCTTTCATTACATGTGCAACTGTGTGTGTACACAAACAGACATGCATGCATTTTGTCTTGATACGTTTATTTGCACTATATTGTTTCTGATTTTATTATATAACTTTTTTTTTGGAATCATTACTATTAACATGAAAATTATATTACCATTACGATTACCATTGGTTTGAATTTTTTTGTATGATTGAATTATTAGATTATTATATTCAATTTTTTGCTTTATTGAACTTAGCTTCACCTTTATAAATCAGGTTCAACTTATGTACACACAAACATGCACATGCACACACATAGCCTTTTAAATACACTTTCATATTTTTTCACTTTATCATAAATGTACTAACTGTTACGATATATGATATTTTAAAGGACTTTTTAGGACATTTTATGGGTAGCTTAAAAAAATGAATAAAAAAATAGGATTATTTAGGAAGATTTTAAAATTTTTTATTATTTAAGAATTTTAATAAAAAAATAACTGTTATGCATTATCTAACTGCTATGCATTAATTGTTATGATTTGTTCATTTTAAGTGTTATTAGCAATTAGGATTTAGATTTGTGTTAAGCAAATGTATTGTGGCATCACCTAGCAAGGCATCACCTAGCAAGTGTAAATTTTGTATTTTTATTGTATGCTGCCAACATACTGTTATTACTTTTAATAACAGTATGTTGTTATTAACACTTAAAAAACTTAACAAAAATATAAATCACAATCTAATGTTGTTCCAATAAATTTTCCCTTAAATCTGTTCAAACAAAAATTAATAAGCAATAAAATTTCAGATTAAGTGGGCAGAAAATAAATCCAGTAATTCAGTTGTTGTTCTTATTATTGCTATTATTATTGTTATCATCATCATTATTATTATCATTTATATTATTATTATTATAGTATATACATTTTATAATTGCTACTATTATTTTTAATCATTATTATCACATTATTATTATCATCAATTTATTTTTATTGAGTCTGACAGGTGTTTACTTTATATTAGTACTAATTACTATTTGTAAATATTCTTTATTCAGAATATATTTGATTTGATTTTGTTGTAACAATTACTTTTTAACTGGAATGTTATTCCAGTAGACCTACTTTTGATGTTATTTAAGTTGTTGTACTTTTAATGTTATTTAAATTGTTGTACCTTTAATTTTACTCAGGTTGTTGTACTTTTAATTTTATTCCAGTTGTTGTACTTTTAATATTACTTATGTTGTTGTACTTTTAATGTTATTTATTTGGGCTTAAACAATCAAATTAACTCCTATTATAATCATTATACATTATGACTTTGCATTTTTACATCACATTAATATATATTTTAATTCTAGTTACAACGCACCATTTATACTCATATAACATATAACATTTTATATAAACTTTTGTTATATAAATTTATGCAATATGTGTTATATAAATTTGTAGAAAGAAATATGTTACAAAGTTTAATAATAAAAAAATTAGTAGAAAAGTTGAAAATTTGTAATATTTTAAGGATGTGGATTTTATGAAATGAAATTCATACTTTCTTTTAAAAAGTCAGTTTTCTGAACTTTTGTACAAAGTACAAACAAACAACAAATCATCCTTTCAATAATTCTTCTTTTCTTCTAATTTATGTTTACTATTTTTCTTTTTATCATTTAATATTGAAGTTTTTTTTTTTTTTAACTAAAAAAAACTAAAGTACATAAAATAAATTACAAATAACTAATTTATATTTAGAAGAAAATTTTTTTAAATTTAACTGATAGTTTGATGTATTTGAATACATGACATAAATAAAATTATATTCTTCAACTAATTTTATTAGGCAACTGTTTAGAAAATTTTAAACAATGTTTTCTAAAGATTGTTTAAAAAAAAAAAAGAACTAGAAGTATAAGAACTATTTGATCTACGAGATCTACAAGGAATATTGTTGATCAATCGTGTCTGAAAAAAAACAAATATTTTGCTCAACAAAATAAAATGCTCTTATAAATCTTTCATAAAATATTTAAAAAAAATTACCTGAAGTGGACTGAGTTCACAATAATAATCTTGAATAATTTTTGGTGGTAAATCCTGCAGAACGTCTTCTTTAAGTCTTCTTAGCAAAAAAGGAAGTGTTTGTTTATGCAATGTCTCCATAGCAAGAGCTCCTTTAATAATGACATTAAATTAAATAATGTAGTAATTATACTTAATAGCAATCAAGTAAAATTACTTTTTATATCCATCGTTTTAAATAAAATAAGTTAAAGCTAATGAAGTAATTGTCAATTATTAAGTATAAGCTTAGTAAACAGTGTATCTATAACATACCTGCTTCTTGTTCTTTAGAAGAGGATTTAACATCTTTACTTTGCAATATAGGCTTTCCAAATTTTGCTGTAAATTCTTTTTCAGTTCCAAGAAATCCAGGCATAAGAAAATCAAAAAGTGACCATAGTTCCAGAACATTATTTTGAATTGGTGTTCCACTTAGTATAAGACGATGATTGGCTTTTAGTAACTTTATCTTTTTTGATAACTGCAATTAAAAAAGATATAAAATTAGTAAAAAATAAAAAATCTTCAATGGATTTTTTTTTCTTTTTATTAAAAAGTTTAAAATAGTATTACTTATGGTATTACTTATACTTTTTATTTCATTAAAAAGTTTATTATTATTTATTGTATTACTTATTGTATTGCTTATTGTGTTACTTATACAACAAGTTTATGTTTTGACTAAATTAACTAAAGCTCATCATCATTGATGAGCTTTAGTCAATTAAATTGTTATTTTTCAATGAATTTTATTGTTGAAACAAAAAGATTGTAACAATTTATTTACTCTAACTTACTTTGTTCTTATTTTTTAAACAACAACAAATTTTAAACTTGCAACAAATAGTTCTAACTTCTAAAAACTTCTATTTCTAACGTTTAAGTTTTCAATAAAACTTTTTAATAGTTTTAGAATATTTAACCAATAAACTCTTATAACATCTTTGCATGTTGAATATTTTTATGTTGAATATAAAAATATATCACCTTATTAGCATTACATTATCACCTTATTAGCATATATAGGGTGACCACGCTTTTTTTGAGTTAAAAAATTAGAAGAATTTAGGAGTTTTAAGGAGATTTTTAAGGACTTTTTAGGACATTCTATGGGTAGCTTAAAAAAATGAATAAAAAAATAGGAATATTTAGGAAGATTTTAAAATTTTTTATTATTTAAAAATTTTAATAAAAAATTTAAAAGCTAAAGTTGAATGTTTTTTCAAGTATATTTTAGGAGAATTTAGGTCTTTTTAGGAGATTTTTCAAATATTAGGATATTTTATGATTTATTAGTAGGTGTGGCCACCCATGGCGCAGTGTAGTGTAGTGGTAGAATGATGCAGTTATTTTTTATAACCATAACTTTTTTACTTATTGAATTAAAGAATGAATTCATGCTAAGCAAAGGTTTCTTTTTTGCTTTTTTTTTTTTTTTTACCAGAACCTGAATAATGCTGCTTGGTACCTGCCATTTTAAATGTGGTTATCAATTTATAATCTTTGAGCTATTATTGTTACCTGAAATCATCAATAATACCTATTCTCTAAATACCCTCTAATATACTTCTATTATCTCTAAATATTATTATCTCTTATTCTTAGTGTTCTTTATTTCTGGGTACCTTTCTAATCATCTCAAAACCACTTTAAAAAATGGTCATAATATGCAACCTTTAATGTTTTCAAAGGTTAGTTTACAAAATAAAACTTGTTTTGAAAAGTAGAGAAAAAATAAACTAAAAACTTAATTTGCTTTGCTTTTTTTTCTTCATTTATAAAATTAATAAAAACAAATTGATAAAAATGTAAAATAGAAACAAAATATTTAGTGACCTATTAATTGTGGAAAAAATGTTTTTTCGTCAATATAAAATTTAAAAACTTTTTTAAAAGTCAAGCAAATTTGTTATGTTTAAAAAAAAATTTTTGTAAAAATTTTGTCAAAAGCACTTTATATAGTGATTTAAATATAAAATCAATGTTTCAAAGTTAAATATATTTTTACTAAGAACATTACCATTGTTTTACTGTTTTTAATTATATGTCCTTCATCTAGTATGCAATAATTCCAATGTTGAGCACTACAAAAGGTAACAAAAACAATAATAAACCTTTTATAAAAATTTCAATAAAACAAAATAATTTTAAATTTTTCTTACATAAAGAAAATAGCATCATTTCTTATAATGTCATATGAGGCTATCACCAAATTGTAATTCTTTAAATTAGCTTGTAACCTAAAAAATTTTGGTTTACTTTATAAAATTATCTATTATATGGCAATCACATGGATTTAATAAAAAAGTATAAAGCTAAAATAGAATAGAACTGTTTTTGTAATAATAACAATATAAATTTCCTAAATTGATTAATTAAAAATTATCTATTTATTCTAGTTATAAAACAATGGGACTCAGCCCCCAAAAGTAAGGCAGTTAGAGTAGATTAAACTAATGTTAATAACGCCTCTTTGAACCTTGCCTAAAAGAGAAAGGGCATCTTTGAAAAAACCAGCCTAAATATGATAACAGCCATCAAAGAACAAATAAAAACTTTATAAAGGAAATAAGATTAGGAAAATGGAAAGCACAAAGAAACAGCCATAACAGATGTTAACTTTTTTGCAATAGATTGGATTTAAGGTTCTTTGATTAACTTAAAAAAATAATCAAAGATAACTTTGATTGTTATCTTTGATTATTTTTCACTACTGAGTTGAGACTCAGTAGTGAAAAATAATCAAAGATAACAATCAAAGTAAACATAATGTAAAGGGTGCAATAATAGCAGTGGCAGAGTTTTGTAAGCAAAACGTTTCAAGTTTGATTCCTGCATTCAACTTGTTTCTCCGCGTAGTGGTGAAGTCTCATGTTTTGAAGTTGGAAAAGAATGCTATGAAGACCAAGATGTTTTGAAAAGTTAAGCGCGACTTCTCATAATAAAATCAAAAATTTTTTAAAAATGAGTAAAACTCTTAACTATAGTGGCCAATTGTACAACTTCATAAATATAGTAACCTATAGTAAACCCATTGGCCTTAGGGAAATGAATATTGTGAAAAAGAAGTGTGTTTTCTATCACCTTATAATAAAACAATTATCTATTATTACTTTTATTGCCCTACATTTTCACTCATCTATATAGGAGTATTAAAAAATTGCAATAATTATTTATAATATTAACAAATTAAATTTGTTTACTGTTAACTAACAGTATATCACTGAAGAAAGATCACACTCAAGATTCTCTGTTCTAAGCAATCAAAAAGTAGACCTTTTTTAGAGCATATAGTTGTATCATTAGCAAAACTATTTATATCATCTTCATTTCATAAGGTATTTTCATCATAATCATATCACAAGTTATTTTCATCATCATCATTTCACAAGGTATTTTCATTACCATCATTTCACAAGGTATTTTCATTATCATCATTTTACAAGGTATTTTCCTTAATACCATTTCACAAGGTATTTATCAGACTACCAGAAAGATTATTATTATCAATGAGAAGCAACACAGGACTAAGAATAGAACCTTGTGGTACTACAGAAATTACTGAAAATGTGTGTTGTCTATTCAGAACATTTTTAATACTATACTTAAAAAAAATGATTTTTAAAAATTTCAAAAATACACAGATACTCAGACGCAGATATATGAAGAAAGATTATAGAGCACCAGAATGCAAGATTTTATAAAAAGCTTTTGATAAGTCGAAAACAATAACCCTTGTGTTTATGCTTCCATTTCATGTATGATAAAACCTTTCTGTTATAATGATAAACAAGTTGCAGTAGAACAAGAAGATCAAAATATTGATTTTAAGAGAGTTCTTAGACTCATGTTATGATAATAAGAAGTTTGTTAAAGACTCAAAGACCTTGTTTAAAATAGAGAGGAAACTGATTGGTTGATAGCTTGATTATGTTCTTAAGAGTTTTTAAAAATGGGAACTACATATGGCATTTTCCGGCAAACTAGATCCATTTAAGCACTTATAAAAAAGCTTAGATATTATTGAAGAGAGTTCTGAAAAATAGTTTTTAAAAACTGTGACAAAATAAGTTTTTTTGCTTTTAAAAATAAAACAGAACTCAAATATTCTACTTATTCAAAAAATATTTTTTTTAATAAGTAGAATATTTGAGTTCCGTTTTATTTTTAAAATTTTTTTTTGCTTTAAAAAAAAAAATTTAATGTCAAAATACAAATAATCCACTTTTAAAAAATATTCTGCTTTTTAATAACAAGTTGGATATTAGTATTCTACTATTTTACAAAATAAATAGTGGGAATATAAATATCTAACAATTTATACCTATTGAATATTTTTATTTTGTTTATTTTTATATATTCCCACAAACATTTTTACTTACAAATACTTGTTTAAAAAATCACAGAAAAACACATTGAATTTAAAGTTCTATATATGGTTTATGGTTCTATATATGATTTATATAAAGTTCTATATATGGTTTATGGTACTAGAGATTACTAAATATGTACTAGTAGTTAATAACTATTAATTTGTGATTAACATTATTTATTAACATAATGCATTAGTTAAACTAATTTTAAAAATATTTTTACCTCTGTCTCTCACTAGGTGTTCCAGTGTAGTTTATTGGATTTAGATGTTCTTTTTGACAAAACTTTTCTACTTCATAACACCAGTGTTCTGTTAATGTTGGTGGACATATAACTAAAGAAGGAAGAGGCTTTAAGTCTTCTTTTAATGACATCTAAAAAAAAAAAAATATTCTATACATAAATATGTTGAAAAAATAATACTGCTGTTGTAAATCTGAGAACATCATAATAAAATTAATCAACATGAGTTTCAGTATATTCATCAACTGATAAACGTGTTACAGTGTTTGAAAAATCTACATATAAGTATACAATATAAGTTGTTTTTTCATTATTACTCATTATAACAGAATATCGAGGCATTTTTTACAGAAGATCACAATCTCATGCAGGATTTTTTTTTAAATATAATGTTCAATTTTTATAAAAAAAATTTACAGATTAATTAAAGACAAAGAATGTTGTATAGCTGTTAATTAGATAAAATTAAATGAAGATTTAAAAACTTTTGAAAATCTGAAAAGCTTCTTGAATCATTAATCTGCAAACTCTAAACTAATGAAGAAAAGTGCTGCAAAACAAAGATCATTGAGACAGAATGTCAAATAGAACAGTTAGCCATCCCTGTTTTAAAAGATCCAAATAAATTCAATATAATTTTTATAATATGTTTTTATATCATCTCCAATTGCTTCAGTGAAACATAATAGATCTGCTAAATTGTAAATAGTATCATTTTTCCTTTCATTGAAATCATCAAGGCATAAAGCTTTTATAGTTTCAATGAAAGCCATGGACATCAATTCTATGCCAACATTTAGCTGTAGCAGAAGCATGTTGAATAAGGTCTACCAGATGTTGGTTTCATTGTTATCTTTTATTGTTGCAATGGCTAACAAATTTTTAAAACTAATGTCATTTAAAGATCTGAGTACAATGTTGACTTATCTTTATACCCAGCATTTGCACCTGAATATTTGAGATTTTTCAAAATTGAAAACTTGATTAAGCTTTTATACAACTTTTTTTTAGTATGCAGCGATGCCGTGACATGATGTTATATTTAAAAATCATATATATATAACTATAACTTTGTTTATGTTCACCTTCTTTATTTCTTTATTATTTGAAGATTAGTAGTGGATTGAAAATAATATCTCATTGTTACAGGTATTTCCTTAAATACATATTTTAGACATTCTACAAGTTCTACTAGTAATTAAACATCAATTTTAAACAAAAAACAAGTTCTGGCTAAACACTTTTACTTCTGGCTAAATACTTTTTAATTCATTTTTATGTCCTAGAGAAAAAATGAACTAAATAAAATGAACAGAAAATTAGTTATTTACTACTGCATTTAGTTATTTACTACTGCATTATTTATTAATGCGTTATTTGCATTTAAAACCTACTTGAAAAAAAAAATTTGCTCTTACTCTCCCTAAATATATTTAAATAAATTTAAATATATTTAAATATATTTAAATAAATTTAAATATATTTAAATATATTTAAAAATAAATTAAATTTATTTAAATATATTTAAATAAATTTAAATTTATTTAAATATATTTAAATAAATTTAAATTTATTTAAATATATTTAAATAAATTTAAATTTATTTAAATATATTTAAATATTTTAAATTTATTTAAATATATTAAAATATATTTAAATATTTTAATAATAATAATATATATTATTATTATTAAAAGCAAATCTTTATAAGTATGTCAACCTGGTACTCAAAAGAAGCGAAAATTTAATAGAAATTTTAAAAATAACTTTTTATAACAATTATTATGTATTATTGTATTATTGCATAAAACCTGTGGCTTTTTAACTAAAAATTAAAAAAAGTCAATATTAATAAGTTTTTTGATAAAAAGTTTTTTTTAATTTTTTTTTATATAAAAAAATTTAATTATGTTATAACATTATTTTTAATGTGATTAAAGATTTTTTTTTTCAACAATATTAAGGGTCTTGAGCAACCCCTTAAAAAAATTTTTTCCAAAAATTTTTTGTTCCATATAAAACACATATATCATGTTTTAAGGCCATCCTATATATATATATATATATATATATATATATATATATATATATATATATATATATATATATATATATATATATATATATATACATATATATATATATATATATATATATATATATATATATATATATATATATATATATATATATATATATATATACATATATATATATATATATATATATATATATATATATATATATATATATATATATATATATATATATAATTATATATATATATATATATATATATTTTACATAATTACTTTTAATGATTAAAAAAACCTTTCAAATTTATTTTAATAATAATTTAATTTTATACTATTTGTATATATATATATATATATATATATATATATATATATATATATATATATATATATATATATATATATATATATATATATATATATATATATATATATATATATATATATATATATATATATATATATATATATATATATATATATATATATATATATATATATATATATAATTATATATATATAATTTATATATATATATATATATATATATATATATATATATATATATATATATATATATATATATATATATATATATAATTATATATATATATATATTTTACATAATTACTTTTAATGATTAAAAAAACCTTTCAAATTTATTTTAATAATAATTTAATTTTATAAAAGCAAAAACCTTTTCTTTGAAAAATTTTCAAGGTAAATAATAAAGTTGAAAAAGTCACATTTTTTACTTCTACAACCACAAGTGCATACTCCAAATTATTTATAATTAAGTTTATCTTTCACATCTGATTTAGAAAAAGATAAACTTTGATTATGCAAGCTGATTAAAATTACATTTCAAATTTATCATTATTCATCACTATATACCTGTTAGGTTTTGTCAAAACATTGATTTTATTCATTTTAACATTGATTTTAAGTTTTGCCAAAAAATTGTAAACAACAGAGCCATAAACTAAGCTTTTATGTTTAACATAAATTTTCATTTAAATTAATTATTAAAACCTATTATTACCTATTTAATAACTTATAAATAGTGCAATATCACTAAAACCTATCGTTACTTATATAAATATATAGTAAAATATTAAACTTATAACTATTACTCTAATACTTTCTTATAATTATTACCTTATACTTTTTTAATGAATCAAAATGATCAGCTGCCATTATACAAATGGATTGAAGAGTTTTGCCCAGACCCATATCTAATTTAAAAAAATACAAGTACACAAATATACATACATCCATACATACATTCATACATCCATGCATACATTCATACATACATACATTACATTCATATATACATACATACATACATACATACATACATACATACATACATACATACATACATACATACATACATACTAGGGAGGTTCAAAAAAAAATGAAGCTTTATGCACACAAAATAGGTCACAAAAAAAAAGTTGCACATAGCATATATTTTAGAACTACCTCAAAGAGCTTCATAATTTGAACTAATTTCAAGTTAAAAGTGAACATACTTCCCAATATTTTACTATTGAAATGTAATGGTAAATCAAATGTAAATACATATTATAACTAACTACATATATAATTATATTGAACATACTTCCCAATATTTTACTATTGAAATGCAATGGTAAATCAAATGTAAATATATATTATAACTAACTATATATATAATTATATTGAACATACTTCCCAATATTTTACTATTGAAATGCAATGGTAAATCAAATGTAAATATATATTACAACTAACTATATATATAATTATATTGAACATACTTCCCAATATTTTACTATTGAAAATATTGAACATACTTCCAAATATTTTACTGTTGAAATGCAATGGTAAATCAAATGTAAATATATATATAATTAGATATTTACATTTATAACTAACTATATATATAATTATATAACTTATTAACCGTTAATTAACTAAGTAGACAACAACAATATACGGGCAGTCAACATCTATTTATGTTCATTAAATAACGTAGCTTTCTTTGAGTTAGGAAAGCGTTTACAATGTTCAACAACTTGAAACAGACATTGTTTGTGGTCTTCCTATTTAGTCAGCTAGAATTTGAATGTAGTGGCAAAAGCGATAGCCTTCTCAGCACTGTCATTGATTACTTTTAAAGATTTAGCAATATTCTTTCCAATGATAAATGACGATAGTTCTGGTCACTTTACCTCCTCTGACAGAAAGTGTTAATTTGAAGGCCTGCTAAAAACAGGTGGGATGCTGGTCTAATAAAGGGTTACTCACCATTTTCTGCTTTGTGCCAAGAGTCACAATGCCTGAAAAGAGGCTAATAGGTACCTTTCTTTGCATAAGTACCATAAATGATGCCCATTTGCACCAGCAGCAGCCTTGGCTACTTTCTGGTAACCATCCAATAACTCCTCAAATCTCCTAATGATATTTCTCAGTTCAGCAGTTGGTACCCTTGCTTTGGCCCGAATTTCACATAACTTTCAAATTGTAAGTTTGGCAGCTCATTTTGCTTTTTTCAAAACTTTTTTTTCTTAAAAAGTTATGAGTCATTCACGAATCTTTGGCAGCTTTTGATAATCAAAAATGCATCTTGTGGCTAACCAATTTAAAAAACAGTACTTTTAGCACGTTTTACAGCAATGGTTAACCTTAATAAAATAAACAATAAATGCAGTAACTGTTGGGATCAGACTCAGAAAATTATCAAATATTATGAACATTTTTATAATTTTACACTTAATAAAATAAATAATAATACAATATTGCTTTTTAAGACTCTGAATTTTTTTAAATGCAACAAAGATTAAAATAATGAAACCTTACAAATTATAATTTTATAATGTAAAATTATAAGCAGCTGCTAATTATCAGTGTCATATAAATGGTTAGCTAAATGATGTACAAACATTTAATATATTGTATTAAATATAGTGGTACTATTATTTTTAAAACATCATGTATTGCATATTATATAATATAATAATTTATTAAGTTTAGCAATTATAGTTACTCCTTAATGTCACTTGATATCTGGGTCAATGATATCTGGATCTGTAATTATAAAAACAAGGCCTAGTACTTTATTTATGAATTGGATATTTGAGAAACTTGTGAAATTATAAATATCACACTATTGTTTACTTTACACAGAATAATTATTTCACTTCATAGGATATTTATAAATGTATTGTGTTATTGTGTAAAAATAATTAAGTTAGTTGGAATATATTTAGAAACAATTTTAAATATAAATTAAAAGTTTTGCATCACATAGCAATTAGCAATGCATAAACCTGTAATCCTGTATTCCAAACAAACTTCAGGTACTTCGAGGCAGTACTAAACCTAATAGTATCCCAAAAATCACATAGCAATTAGCAATGCATAAACCTGTAATCCTGTATTCCAAACAAACATGTTAACCACCCTATTACATACATACATACATACATACATACATACATACATACATACATACATACATACATACATACATACATACATACATACATACATACATACATACATACATACATACATATATACATGTATATATCAGCCTTCGAAATTAGAAAAAATAAAATTGGCAATAATTTGCCGACCATAATCTGTGTGAGGTCGGCATCAAGTCAGCATAAAAAATGTAAAACAAAGGTTTGACCATAAAATATAGATACAGGTCGGCAATTTTTTGCTGACCTCAAACACTTCTCGGTTGGCAGTTAGGTCAGGGATAAAAATAGCAAGTTTTTGGTATGTAAAATTTAAAAATACATTTTCTATAAATTAATTCAGAAGAATATAAGAAAAATACCATCACAAAGAATGCCGTGCAAATTGTATTTTTTCAAGAATGCTAACCAATTGACACCATCCTAATAAATTAAAAAAAAATACCAACAAAAAAATAAGTTTATTTAAATATTTTGTATAAAATTAATATTAGTATTCAATATATATCCCTCAAGTATAATCATAAATTTTTCATAACAAAACATTTAGATTTCAGTTTCAATCATAATTTCATTTCAAAGGAAAAAAAGATATTATGTAGTATAAATATTATCTTAATTAAAAACATTTTTAGAATAATTTCAAGTTTAAGAACCAAATAAAATATGAAAAAAAAATTTTTTTCTACGTTTAAATATGATAAAATCATAAATCCTAATAACTTAATATCCAAAATGTAAAAATACTAAATGAAACAGCTTATTTTTAAGGTGTACCGGATATTTTTGTCGGATAGCGAACTTTTCTCAAGCTCTATAAGCTTATTTTTGCCAGATAATGAACTTTTCTATAAATGTTTATGAAGTAAAAACATTCAACATTAAATAGTTTTGAAGATTAAAAAAAATAAAATCAATAAAAAACTGATATAACACAGGTATTATATTAATAATGTATAAAGAAAAATCGCTTTTTATAGCCAAATTTTTGTTTTATTTTAACTACTGTTTTCTATACTTTGTCAACACATATACCATGTCATACAGTTTTTCACTGATTTTTTAAAATAAGATCTTGAAAACTATTTATTTTTGACTGACAAGACTTGTTTTTTCTTCATAAACACTAATAGAACTTTTGAAAAGTTCATTATCCGGCATATCTGGAAAAATTATCCGGTACACCTCTAGTTTATTTATTGTTGTATTTAAATAGTTAATCTTTGCTTCTTGTTAGATATTGTTTATTTTATCCAGGATTACAATATTGTATAGTTAATTTAATCACAAGATTTTAGCCCTATGTATAATTTACCCAGGAATAGAATATTGTTTAGTTTATTTAACCTCAAGGCTTTAGTCTTGCTGTGGTGATAAAAATATATAATTTGAGCTTGATAAGTTCATCAACTCAGTCTTTATATTCTTTAACATTTCTTGCAGTAAATCATAAGATTTTTTGAAGAGATATTGTCTCTCTTCAGTAATCAGCATCTGTATGATAACATTGATAATCAGCATGTGTATGATAACAATTTTTGAAGAGATATTGACTCTCTTTAGCAATTCATTCTCTTTGAAATAGGTTAATATTAAGTTAAAAAAGCTTATAGATACAATTTTAGTTTATTCTTTTTTTTCCAATTTTAATTTATTCCTTTTTTTCCAAATTCAGACCAGCAAGATTGAAAAATTTCTTTTTTTTTGAAAAAATTCTTCAATCTTTAATTTTAATCTTTAAGAAGTTAGTAAAATTTAAGATGGAAGTCATTTATTTACAGATGTATTTACATAATTGAACCAATCATTCTTAGAATGTTTGATTGCAAAATTTTCCAATAGCAAGGTTTCAAGAGGATTTATAGATCCTATTGAAACTTTGCCATTTGAAAAATTCATAAACTTAACATCAAATGCTGGTATTTCATGTTAAGTTTATGTATTTTCATATGCGAAGAGTAAGCTTAATCCATTTTCCCAATTGCAAAGTTTCTGGAGGATCTTTAATAGGATCTTCATAGGATCTTTAAGAGGATCTTTATATCCTCTTGAAAACTTTATCATCTTAATTATCTTAACATCAATATTAGAATTACAAAGCAAATAAAGAATTTAATTTCAACATGTGGTCAAAGAACTAACAAGCTATAATCTACAATTACAAACTTTGGTTTAAGCTTTTCTACAACAGCCACAAGGTATTGGTTAGTGAACTTTAAACATTGCCTCTTGTAAATAATCCCAAGTTATACCAAGTTATGTCAGAACCTAAATATATACCAGTCTGTCTTGATACATGGTCAAAATTTCATCAAGTGTATCTGAGAATGACAATTCACTTCATTTAATCAAACTGGAACTTTTGTCAAAAATTTGTTCATAAGGCAACAAAAATTAGAGCTAATTTAAAGCTAGATGCATTAAAACTTTCAATTTGTAATAAAAAAAACTAGATGCTTTCAATTTATAATAAAAAAACTAGATGCTTTCAATTTGTAATAAAAAAAAGCTGTTGTTAAATAATAGTAAGGCTTGAATCATGCAATTGCAAATGGACATACCTGGAAAATTATCTAGTCTTCAAAATTATAGTTTATGCAAAACTTTGTACTTTATTTTCATGGGGCAAATTAACTTAAATTAGTATTTATTAATTAACTTAGATGCCATCATATATATTAGTTAGTTAGATGCCATAATATACAAACTGATTGTAAAATGTTTTTTTTTTTTTTTCTCAACTCAACTTTTGTTAAGTGTTGTTTTTTATGAATCCAACTCAACCGTTTTATATAACCCTTTTTTCTATAATACTATTCTTAAAAAATAGCAAAAAATTTAAATATATAGAAAAGAAAGACTTGAAAATTTAGGTGCAATTTAGAGTTTTATCTACCATATCGCTCAGCAAATTTTACATCTGAAGCCACCGATTATTTCTGCTTTACTCAAATTTACTTCTTTGGATATTGAACTTTCTGTCCAAGACTGGAGTCATCATGAAAAATTGGTATCTTATGTATTTTTAAGAAGAAAACAAATAACAAACAATAACTAAAACTGGTATCTTATATATTTTTAAAAAGATAATGAGTAATAAACAATAATTAAATATTTGTTGCTAATTTATAACTTTTAAACTCATTTATAACTCATTCATAACTTTTAAAATTATTTATAACTCATTCATAACTTTTTTATAACTTTTAAAATTATAAATTTTTAAACTTTTAAATTTTGTGAGAATAAAAAAATACAATCTTTTTAGTGATTGACTAATTCCCTAAAATTCTAAAAGAGAAAAAAGAGAAAAAATTCTAAGAGAATATATAAATTATAAAAGTAGAAATAATTATTTGGACAAAAACCTTGAGTTTCTATTAGCTTTATAAAACATTGAATTTCGGAAAAACTATTTTAAAAATATTTTTAGTAAATCAAGCTGCCATTAACTAAGGTTGTAAAAAAACATGATTAAGTTAATCACACAACACTGCCAACATTCACAGATGTTGAAAAACTGTTTTAAAAAAATGCTTTTTACTGCTTTGAAAATACCAAAAAAAACTTGTATCACTACTAGTCAATCACTAGTTACAAATAAACTGCAGATTAGTAAAAATAAAGTGTAAAAATTATAAAATGCAGATAAAAGTAAAAAAAAAGGTGTAAAATTATGTGTTTTCTTTCTATAACTTACTACTTTACTAACAAAAAAACGAAGTTCTGAAGTTTCACCTGCAGGGCAAAGTAAGTTCACCAGGCATTTTACTATAATCTGTTCTGTTCTTTATAATTTTAAATTTACATGAGCTTTATTTGGTCCCTGAATTGCTTAGCACGAGATTATGTTTAGTAGGATTCTTGACACAAGACTTGTGCAGTCTAAGTTCAATTTAGAGTGATTTTAAATTTATGCAAGTGCACTCACATAACATGTTATATATAAAATGGATCATTTCAAAGCCAGGGAAAAAGTTCACATGTTAAAATATGTAGCTTAAAAATAGTAAATTTAAAAATTGCACTACTTAATAAGACCAATGAATTTCTGTATGTTTTAAAAACTTTTTATAACAATTTACATTTTTATTATTATTTAATTACAATAACTTAATAAATAAAATATTTAGGTTATCTACAAGTAAACATTAAAAATAATAAATTTAAAAATAAATTTATAAAGATTACCCCAGAAATTACAACTATGATTAGAATACATTATTAAATTTATTAGTTTATAATATTCATGCAGGATAGTGAAATTCATACAAAATAAATACATCTGCTATCATTTTTCTTTATTGTTTCTGATTGTTTTTAGAGAAATTTTGATCAGTTCACTAAAAAATTTTGAAAATTGTATGTAAAACTAAATCAGTTTTAAATACTATTTCATATACAGTTTTACATGCAATTTAAATACAAAACATACAGTTTTGATCAGTTCACTAAAAGATTTTGAACGTAAACCTTATTTCTAGCAGCCCAACATTGTAAAAAGACTATATACAGTAAGTTATTGTTGATACTATAGAATCAAGTGATGCTCTATAGTATAGATTAAAAATAAAAATGGTAATTTCCAAAAAACAAATAAAAAGTAAAGGCAGGGCGTTGAGAAAACAATCCGGCTTCAACAGCACGTCGTCTGATTGTTCGGTCCGATACAAGCAGCTCTAATTGCTTTTGTATCTTAACTGATGATATCCAGGGATCCTTCTTGATGGATCTGACGATCATAGAATCCTCTCTAGAAGTGGTGGAATGCGGTCTTCCACCTTTGTTATCTGCTGCCAACTTCCCCATAGAAGGATATTTGAAACATAGTCTTGATACGGTCCATTTTTTCACGCGATATTTATCACAAATAATTTTTTGTGACATTCCACTTACGTATACGCCAATAATTTTCTTTCTTAGTTCCAATCCAAGACTGTTGGGAGCCATTTTTGTACTTGAAGTCATAAAAATAATAAAAATAAATAATCACGCTTCTCAAGGCTTGTCGTGTTACATTTACCTTGTGATGATACAATAATACTCTGTGGAACACAATGTCTTGGCTGTATGTGGACTGTATTGATGTAATGAAACACTTGTTGTATTTCACTTCTTGTATTGATGTTCTTCGATAAAACACTTTTATAAAACTCACTTTGATAAACTGTCTTGATAATACTGACTGATTGACTTCCATATACTGACTGAATTACATGTCGGTTTACATGTCTCTTATATAGTAAAATTACCCTGTGTGAACCTGTTCTGGAAGATTTTAGATGCTTCTTTTCGATGCTTCTGGAAGTGTCTGGATGCTTCTGAATGTTTCTGGATACTTCTGGGTGCTTCTACATGCTTCTGGAAGCTTCTGCATGCTTCTGAAAACTTCTGGAAACTTCCTTTAATTATTAAAAAACTTTCGTGACGTTGACACGGACCAGACTTTAGAAAATGAAACAAACCAAAAAAGTTGCACAATTCTGCCTGTGTGCTGTCACCTATCAGCTGATTGCTTATGTCATGGCATTCTATGACTCCAGACTCCTGAACTGTTTTCTGTGGTAGTATATTTCATTTCGTTTTCAAGACATGTAATATTAGGAACACTTTTTAGCATTGTTTGATGTTGGCTGCAAATGTTTTGTCCAATATTGTGTATATATATATATATATATATATATATATATATATATATATATATATATATGTTTTGTCCAATATTTTGTGTGTATATATATATATATATATATATATATATATATATATATATATATATATATATATATATATACATATATATATATATATACACACACACACATAGTAATGCATACTTTAGCGCTATGATGTCACACTGATTTAGGGGTGAGGCGATACATAGACTGATTTAGGGAGAACTCGCAACGGAATAAAATGTATATATATATATATATATATATATATATATATATATATATATATATATATATATATATATATATATATATATATATATATATATATATATGTGTATGTATATATATATATATATTTAATATATGTATATATACATATAATATATGTATATATGCATATGTATTTATATATAAAAACATAGTTTATGCACACATATATTATATGTGTGTATAAACTATGTGTGTATAAAATTTTATATAAATAAAATTTGGGAATGTCTTACTTACATCTCAAATTTGCATCTTAATTTTCTTTCTTATTTAATAATTTTGTGTTTTAGAAAAATTTAATTAAATTGTACAATTATTTATATATTAGTATTTATAGTTAAACATATAATTAAGCAAAAGTTAAAAATGTGAAATGTTTTTAACAATATCTTAAAATATTTTTAAATTTGCAACGTAAAATAAAACAATGTTTTCTAGATCTGATAGCAATATATGTGAGATCACTCTCTATTTTCTGAAACCATCTGCGGGCACTTCAATTGCAGGATATATGATCACCTATGGAATCAATTAGAGTTAATTGGAAATGAGCAAGTTGTACTGATGTAGATATTCATATGTAAAGAAAAAAGAGATAAAAATTTATATTTTCTTTTTAGAAAAAACAATTTTTTTGTCATTGAAGTTCTGACAAAAAAATGTGAAAAAAAAATTTAAGAAGAAAAAAGATACTTTAAAACAGTTTCTTATTAATGCCAAGTAATTCATAAGATTTAACTAATAAATCTTGAACAATAAATCTTTAATCAATGAAAAATATTACAAGTATCATTTCTTTACAGCAAAATCCTAAATCTTAGCCCATAGTTTAAGACATTTAGTTTTTAAAACAAGAAACTTATCTTGTTTTAAGAAATAAATTTCCTATCCCCCAAAGAGTTCTTTTAATTTTTTTAAACTAATTTTTATTGTATTATATTAATAATCTTTTTATTGTTATTTTTAAACTGATAATTTTGCTTGTGGTCTACCTTTTGATGAATTTATTTATGGTCCATTATATCAAGAACACAAGATACAATCATAATGTTAATAGACCACTGGTGTTGATTTAAAGGTAAAAACAAATTTTTCAAAGCAGTTTAAATTATAAGCATATATAATGCTTGCATATAAAATAAGCATATAAAATGCTTATTTTATATGCAAAAGCTTATACAATAATATGTAAGCTTAAAAAAATTTAAAAAGAAAGAATAAACTTATGCAAAAAGTGAAATAAGACATAATTCCACAGATTTTAATTTATAATCCATGACATGATTATGTAATTTATTTTGTGTTTAGGTATATGTTTGACTATAATCAAGAGAATGCAAGAAAAAACGAAAGAAGAAAGAAAGATAACAATTATTTGCTCTAAAAGCATATATATAATATTTATATATATTATATATATATAAATTTTTATTTAACTTTTTTTATGCAATATTTAATGCAACAATTTGTCATTAATAATTGCTGAATAAGTTTATGTCATTAATTTTTCTTTTAAATTTTTTTTTTTATGGTTTAAGGAATACATTTTTAGAATAAGAGTTTTTTGTAAAGTAAATTTTGCGCTTTCTATGGAAATTTCCGGCAGCAGATTTTCCAGAAATTTTCTGTTATTTTATAGAAAAATCAGTCACTTGTTAACGGAAATATCCGTTCTAATACGGAAATATCTGTTATTACGATAATCGAAATTTTCCGTAATTTAAACAGAAATTTCCATCAACACTTTATTTTTCCGTAAAATAACGGAAACTTTCTGGAAAATCTGCTGCCGGAAATTTCTGTAAAAAACGCAATATTTTTTTAACAGTGATTGACTAGTAGTACTAAAATTTTCTTTAATCTTTTGTTCTAATTTTTTATTTAATTGAATGCTGATTATTCAATTGAACAATTTAATTGAATTCAGATTATTTAAATGAATAATTTAATTAAATTCTGAATATTTAATTCAATAATTTATTTAACTTTCAGTTACTTAAAAAATTAGTTTTAATGAACAAATAAGTAAAAATTGAATAATTTGAAAAGTTTATGAATACCTGTTGATATTTTCGAAGCTCACAATTAATAGGAATCGGTATCTGGTACTGATCTAACTTTGTACCATCGAGTAGCTGCTCTAAAAACCTCCGTTCAATAATTTTTTTCTTTATTAAATCCTCTGACATGCTTTCTGTGTCTGGCACACTCGACTAAAAAACAAAAACTGTTTAAACATTTTTACTATTAGTAAACAACAACATAAATAAATAAAGAAAGAAAAATTTCAAATCATCAACTAACTTCAAATATAAAATTAAATTTGCCAAATAAAATGATTGTAAATAAGTTCATAAACAAAATACCTTGCTGCTATCCTACAAGTTTTAAATTTGCAAGTGATTTGAATATTTTGTTCTTACATTGCATTCTTTTTTAATGGAGCATTAAAATTAAAAAAAAAAACAACAAATAACATAATTTGTAGTAATGTTAATATTTTGAATGAAAAAAATATATATATTCATATGTCAAAACAGGATAAAGATTTAATGAATGTTTTTTAACTTTTTTTATTTTATTTCTTATATATATATATATATATATGTAAAAACTTATTTCTAAAAACAGAATTTCAAAACAATTTCACAACTTTTAGTTCTTGTAATTTAATGTTAAATGAAAATTTTTTTATCTTAAAAAATTGTTTTATCTTAGAAAATTTTTTTATCTTAGAAAATTGTTTTATCTTAGAAAATTTTTTTATCTTAGAAAATTGTTTTATCTTAGAAAATTGTTTTATCTTAGAAAATTGTTTTATCTTAGAAAATTGTTTTATCTTAGAAAATTGTTTTATCTTAGAAAATTGTTTTATCTTAGAAAATTGTTTTATCTTAGAAAATTGTTTTATCTTAGAAAATTGTTTTATCTTAGAAAATTGTTTTATCTTAGAAAATTGTTTTATCTTAGAAAATTGTTTTATCTTAGAATATCATTTCAAAAAGTTTATTTTAACAAGATAATTTTTAAAAAATAGTAATTGAAATCAAAACTATAAAATCTGTCAAAACTTCAATCAAAATTTTGAAACTTAAAAAAAAAAAACACAGCAAGGCATTTTGGTACAAAGCTCAAAGTAAGTGATTGTGAAGTGAATTGAGAAATGTTTCTGGTCTTTAAATTTTTAGTTTTCTAAAAACCGTAAACTCTTTTTTTTATCAATATACTAAATAGTTGTTATTCAACAAAAAATATTTATATCTTATATGATTAATGCAATACTACCTCAATCTTTTCATAGAGTAATATAAACATTATAAATAAATATTATAAAACCATATTACTACTTTATTTTTATTATTATTATTATTAAAAATAATGATTTAAACTTTAATATTTTAATTCATTTGACAAAATTTATCAGATAAAACTAGAAAAATAAAGCATAGAATACAATGTAATATTAAAAAACAATTCACAATTCACAAAGTACAATTCACAATTCACAAAGCACAATTCACTATACACAAAGCACAATTCACTATTCACAAAGCACAATTCACAAAGCAAAATTCACAATTCACAATTCGTCGTGAACATTTGAATGGTTTTAAGCAATCAATTGATTGCTTCTGTAAGTTCTTGTTCTGATGATTCTATAAGTTCTTGTTCTGATGATTCTATAAGTTCTTGTTCTGATGATTCTGTAAGTTCATGTTCTGATGATTCTATAAGTTCTTGTTCTGATGATTCTGTAAGTTCTTGTTCTGATGATTCTGTAAGTTCTTGTTCTGATGATTCTGTAAGTTCTTGTTCTGATGATTCTGTAAGTTAATGTTGCATTTGACAAATATATTTGTGAAGCAATCAACTAAATTAATGCCATCAATCTTCTTTGACTGTCTAAATCAATCTTTTCAAAAAATTTGTTTTTCAAATGAAAATTACCACTTTTTAATAAGTGCTAATTTAACTTTATAGTCTGATGATGAGCTGGCCGAATTTTTAAAGTATTACTAATAAATAATTAAATTGTTTTGGATTTCTCCACACACATACACAAAACATGAAAAAACAAGATCAAAATAGCTAATCATACAAAATGTTACATAAACATGGTAAGAATTTATTAAGTTTTTAAATCCTTCTTTTTTAAGTTTTCTTTTTAAACTTTTTTTTTTTTCCTTTTGGTTTTTTTTTTTTTGTAAAAATTTAGATTTTTTTTCTTTTGTAAAAATTTTTTAATTTCCTATTTAAGTAACAATAGAACAATTTCGGTAATATGATTTGCAATATTTTTAAAAAAATTTTAAAAAATCTTCAACTAAATTTCCTTAGACTTCTAGTGTCAGCACTTTATCATGTTAAATGATTTAAAATGTTCAGCTTACAAATAATAACAGAACTATTTTTAAAAAATTTTTATATATATTTAACTAAGTATTATTTATTACATTAGTTATACTGTAATCTCATATTAGATGGGCTCATATTAGATGGGCTTATAAGTTTGATTACACCCTGTACTAACTAATAAAAAATAACTCGGAGATAAAAATAATGGTAGTAAATAAATTTTCAAATTGTGGAAGGTTGTGTTATTTAGGAGTTGTATTTCTTTCACTTAAAAATGAATTCTACTTGTTGCTGTTGCTGGAAAAATTATGGCGAAAGATCAAAATCATTGAAAAAAAATTAATAAAAACTTAGAAGAACAAATTCAACTCTTTATCTTTACAGGATATTCGGTGAACAACGATTGCTATCCATCAGTTGTTTGTCCTGATTGCCGAAGAAATCTTTACAGACTCAAAAAGGGAGACTCACCTCGTGGTGAATGGGGAGCTAAGGTTACCAAGGTAAATTTAATGATTTTTTAGTTCCATTTTTTGTTTTTGTTTTTTGATTATTTATAAATGTATATTTATTTAGGTAGAGTGGAAAACTCTTTTGAGAAATAGCTCTATTACCAGTCTAACTCTTCTAGATGAGACAACTAATTTACCAACAACTGAGTCAAGTATATGTTCTTTTTGCTATATTACCTGCACCTGATTATTCTCATAACTGTACACCCACCAGTGCTGTGGCTAATATCATTACACTGTCATTTCTTCTAGGTTCTCTTCAAGCTGAACAGGTAAAAAAACTATATTTTGTTTAAATTTTTTATGCAAATTTCATTTTACCTAAGGTTGCTTCTGAAATTATAAAAAGTAAAATGGCTACAGAAAGTTTGATTGACGGATCAACGTTTTGTTTATCTACAGGAGGATATTCGCTCAAAATCACAGTTGGTACACCAGAAAACAAATCAAAAAGATTTTCTATTAAGCAGCTTTCCATTGTAATAATAAAGCAATTACAAATTGTGTCAGAACTTTCAAATAGAAAAACAAAAAGAATGCTTTCTAATTTATGCAAAGGTTTAGGAAATAAGCTTTCCATTGAGCCTAATATTTTTGGTTGTCTTTCTGAATTTGAAGAATATATTTCTAATTACTACAGTTTGCAGAAGTGCGAGTTTGTTGATAGTAAAGGCAAATTGTTAAAATTGTTAAAATTACATGGTTTAGACCCTACTTCAGCCTTTTTAAGGATTTCATTGGATGGTGGAGGTTCATTTTTTAAAGTAATCATCAATGTCTTTGATTGTCAAAAAAATATTAAGTCAGACAAGTACTTAAATAGTGGCGTTCAACGGTCTCAATTTTTAGCTATTGTTGAAGATATTCCTGAATCTAACAACAATTTGAGACTTGTTATAGAAAAATTAAATTTGTAAGATGTCAATTTTTATGTTGCTTTCGACTTGAAATGTGGAAACGCGCTGTTTGGTTTATCAGGACATTCTTGGAAAAAAGCTTGTTTATGGTGTGAAGGAATACATTAAATTTAGGGACAAAATGAACTCTTATCAGTATTGATTATTGGTACAATAAATATTTAGAAAATAACTCAGTAAAATCATCCTTGCAAGAGTTTATGAATTGCATCAATCCTCGAATTTTATATAATAATTTGACTTTGTTTATAAATTTATTTATATAGTTATATGTATATTATATATATAGTGTTTGTGTGTGTGTATATAAATATACACACACACACACACACACACACACACACACACACACACACACACACACACATATATATATGACTCAATAGTTATTTTTAATCGAAGAAGAGTTAAATTTATCTGTATCTTTGACATATCGTTCCGGAGCAGGAAGAAGAATTGTTCATATTTTATTGAATGATGTACAATATTTTGATAAATATTTTGAATTTTTTATGTTTGTTTATACTTTCTTTAAAATATTTTACATTTATTTTAAAAAATTGTAACAAGCATCTCAAATGTTTAAATGGACATAAGGCCCCTCAATTTTACCCTTTGCCCCGTTTACAACCCTTGACTTTTTTTTTTTTTCAAAAAAAGAAGGTTTTTTCTATTTTTGTTAAACAAACACTTTTGAATAAAAAACTTTTTTTTTGTAACTTGCAACTAGCATACCTAAATGGGCTTATGCCCCCATTGTATTTACCCTTTTGCCCCATTTATGACCCTTAGCAATTTGTTTGGATTTTAAAAATCATTTTTATTATTGTTATAATACAAATACTCTTGAATAAAAAAGGTTTCATTTGAGTGGCACAACATAAAACCTGTCGGTCTCTCTGGTGCACAGTGCAATCCTTATCCAGTTTTTTTTTTTTTTTTTACTTTTTTATTAGATTGCTTTATGTGCAAATTTCTTAAAACTTTATCACATGAAACTTCATCTTTAAACTACAAAAACTGCATCAATGAAATTTCATTTTTAAACTTTAAAAACTTTATCAATGAAATTATTCTATGATACGACATGATCTTTTTTTTTACCTTAATAAATAAATCTCAAAACATAAACGAACTAAAAAATTTTATCTTAAAATCTTAGAATAGTTTTGGCCAAAGTAAATCTTTGCAATAATTTAATCAGAAAATCTTCAATGCTTGGGTTGTGAACTCTACTGCTATTTGTTATTAAATATCGTATTATTATATTATTTATTAAATTTTACTTTAGATTAAACTTTTATTTTATCAGCCGCAATTATTTTTATGCTTCAATCATTACAGTTTATCAGCCACAATTATTTTTATGCTTTACAAACTTTTCTTCTAGTAGTTTAAATAAACTGCAATCAAATCAAATTCAAAATAATTTTTATTTTGTTTGTGTTAACTTTTTTATCAAACTTAATAAACTGCTACTTAATATTTTTTATCATACTTATTTAACATTAACTTATTAAACTGTAATAATTTAATATTACAATAATTTTTTTTATAAAGAAATAAAATTATACAATTTTTTTTAAATTATAAAAATTTTAAAAACTTTTAAAAAAAAAAATTTTAAAAGCATACCTCGAGAGGCATTAATTGAACCAATGTGGCAAAACAGTTTGTTGCAATTAGTCGAATATCCTCCATGTGGTCACTCATACGTGCTAATATCGGAACAACCATCAACACAATATATGGTAATATGTCAAGACCAAGGTTATTAATAACATCTTATAAAATTAAAGAAAAACCAAAACATATCATACATTTTATAATTTTTTTTTTTTAATGCTTCATACATTTTATATAAATTTATTTAACATATATCATATACTTTTATATATCTGTATATGTATGTATTTATATATGTGTGCGTGTGTGTGTATATATATATATATATATATATATATATATATATATATATATATATATATATATATATATATATATATATATATATATATAATTTATAATGTTTATTTTAAACATGTAAATAAAGTAAACAAAATGAAAAAAGATACAAAACAAAGCTTCAATGACCCCTTGCCTTCCGGGTGGATTATCACTCTGTTCTAAGATTCCTATAATGTCATGCAAAATAAAGTTCATGGTATCCATTCTTATTATTTTGCTAAGCACCCCAAAACATCTTGCAGATACATGTCGTATTGAGGTATAGTGGTGACTGAGGTAATATGCAAAACATGGAAGAATTTCAACAAGCTAAATGTTAAAATATAATAAGAGATAAAATTATGATTAGATAAAAAATACAAAAAAAAACTTTAACAATTGGTAAATAATATTAAAAAATTTATAACAAAAAAATTGAAAAATTTGTTTTAAACTAAATAAAAAATGCTACAAATATTTACAAAATATTTGCCCATTTAAATTTTTTAATATTTATTAATTCTTTGCTTATTCCTAAAATAGTAAAAATATTTTCTGTATCATTGACCATTTTAAATTTATACCACTTTTAGTACTAACCAGCAACTAAGCACCTATACATCGACAGTGCCTTACAAAACATTTCACAGGAGGTTGTTAAATCTTTCATTTCTGCTTTTATATCGTAAAACCTTTCATATCGTAAATCATATATCTTTCTATCCTATCTTAAAATCATATATCTTTCTATTGTAAAATCTTTCATATCATAAAGTCTTTCATTTTCATTTCTGCTTCCCTATTGTAAAATCTTTCATATCATAAGATCTTTCAAAAACATTTTGCATTTCTGTTATCGAATACACATTTTAACTTTACGATCAAGACCAGAGTAATTTATTTTAAAAACATCTTAAACAACTCTACACACATATCTAATACATATTATACATGAATTTGTCCCAACTCTGTTCTGTTGAATGCCTATGGGTGATCTGAACAAACCATGCGCCCCTTGTGTGAAAACCTGCCTAACTACTCTAGCATTTTATGATTTAATAAAAACGTTATTGTTATTTATGTCTATGTTGAAGTTGCTATATGTAATTTTTTCTTTTTTTAAAAAAGAAGATGCAATGATTCATCTCATAAGTCAGAAAGTGACAGTAGCGAAGACATGGAGGAATCTTTTGTACCAATGAGAACTTTCAAGCCTCACTTTCCAAATCAGACTGAACTATAACTTAATCAGAGATTTAGGTCTTACTAAGTCAGGAGCTGAACTTCTTTCATCAAGGCTGATGGAATGGAATCTACTAGGTGAAGACTGCAGGACATATGTGCACTGTAAACAACATAAAGAACTTGAATTTTACAATAACTTGTGTAATAATCGATGTTATTGTTAAGATATGACTGATTCATATACTTAAACTTAAACAGGATCCTCTTTATATGAACTGTTCTATGAACAGATAGCCTCACTATGTAAAGCTATCTATGAAAACTGTTCATAGATAGCTCCACATAAATTGTTCCACAATAAAAATATCTATCTTTGGATATTTAAAGTAATATAAAATAAATATCTACCTTTGTCTGTTGCACACTCAGTATAAGAATGTGCAATAGACTATAATAATGTCAAAGTATATCTTGACAAAATTAGATATTCTGAATTCAAGTGGGATGTTTGTTGCACTTCAAAGATACATGCTTTTTTGTTTGGTTTGCAAGAAGGATACACAAAGTATTCAAGTTGACCTCCACAAGTGAAACTACAGTGAGAATCTTCTAAAAAAATTCTAGTAGATCCTAACAAAGTCTTATTATCATATCATTATTACCATATCTTATTATCTTATTATCAAATCAAACCAGATTGGTAAAACAGTTTGTAAAAGCCTTTTGATTGAGGAGAAGCTTTACAAGAAATTAATCTCATGTTTCCAAAGCAACAATGAGGCAACAATCTAAAGTGATAAATTAGTTGGACCCCAAATAAAATGTTAAAGTCAGAGAAATTCAGAAGTGCCAAGCCAAAGGTTAAAAAATAAATTTGGTATGTATGTCCATAAAGATTCATATGTTATATTCACACCTAAATTTTTTCTCGGAAAACATGAGCAATGTCAGTGAGGAGCATGATGAGAAATTTCATTAGGACATTGAAAATGAAAAGTAGATATCAAGGACACTGGGATTCTGCTATGAATGGGAGATTATATATGACCTCTAGTCAAAAAAATGAAATTATGCACTTAAGAAAATCACACTCATCAAAGCTGTTCTAATTTTGTAAAGAAAGAGTTTATAGAACTATATATTAAATTTTGTTAGTATAAAACATAAAGAATTGTGTGTCTTCTTGTTTTCACAAATATCATACTTCCTAAATACCTTTCAATATATGAAAACATGCTATATGCTATGTAAAAAATGCTATATGCTATGTAAAATATGCTATGTAATTATTATTATTATTTTAATATTACAATATTAAAATAAATATAACATACTGACTTAAAGAAAATTTGCAATTAAAAATATGAAATTAACCATAAATAAAAATGTTTATTTTTTTGTCAAAACATGATTTTAGAATTTAGTGGCAAAAATAAACATTGAAAAATTAATGGGAATTAAAAAAAAAGTGGGATCTTTGTTACATTCTGATATAGTGCATTGAATGCATAAAGAATTAAAAAAAAAAAACAACCTTCTAATATTAAAAATATAAATGGATTAATTAAAAAGTAATGATGTAGTGTATTAGTAATTAACTTACTAATACACTACATCATTACTTTGTAATTAATCCATTTATATTTTTAATATTAAAAGGTTGTTTTTTTTTTAATTCTTTATGCATCCAATGTCTATACTACTAACAAAATAAATCAAGTCAGTTTGCATTTCAATTGAATATAACATAAAAAAAACTATGTTTAGAAGTATGAAATGGATTGGGCTAATGATAAAAAATAATTGTTTATATTTATTTATGCAAAAAGCACAATGTGTTTTAATTATGCACAAGCAAAAAGCAATAAAACCTAACAAAACACTATATAATCAAAATGAAAATTTCCATTAATATTTCAATAATGAGGAAATATAAAGCTAACTTACTAAATATATAATTTCAATCAGTTTTATACAAGAATATAAAACAGAGTGCAGGCCATCTTTTAAATTCACATTTGAATCAGATATAAAGTCAATAGATAATTTATTTGTTAAGAATACTTTATTAACAAACAAAATGCAACTTAATTTTCTTAATTTTAAATGGAATATAATGGAATAAAAACAATCATTCACTTCAAAGCAAATCAAAATTAAAGCAACTCGTATTTTGAAAAAGCTATATAAACTTTTAAACAAAGAAAGCTTGATGACGCTGCATAATTGAAGAAAATAAAATGTGTCAAAAAACGTGTCAAAAAAATTTAGTGAACTTTAGTGAAAAAATAAAAGTAAAAACAGAAAAAAAATTTTAAAAGTATATTACTTACTTTTTGTTTTAAATTAGAATGGAGGTGTAGTGCAACAATTTCAAACACTTGCATTGCAGTTATAGTTTGTTTCATTTTCTCAATATCATCATATTGATAATAAGAAGAACATTCTGTGTTTAAAGTTAAATATATTTATATATTATTTTAAATTACATATTATTAACTAAATCTTAGTAAATTTTATTCAATATAATTCTATTAAAATGAACAGGTAATATTTAAAATACCGTGTAATACGGTGAAAGTGCTTTCCCAAAGATCAGGCAGTTTTTCGCAAAGCAATTCACCCATTTCTTCAACACATGTTGATAGAGCTATAGATGCTCCTTCACATTGCACTTGCTGCTGTCGTATACTCTGGGAAAAATTACTGCATTTTTATAATAAATTTATACAACTTCCAATGATACTTTAGTTAAAATCATTAGCTACTTTATTTAAAAGCATTTTGCTAATATAAAAACGTTAGTCAAGATAAAGGTGTCATAGTTAATTATTTTCAACATAATTAAAAACCAATTTTTTCAGCGCATTTGTTAAAAACCGTGATTAAATTGTCAAAATAAAATATTATATGCGTGGTCATATAAAGACATGAAATCGCACGCCTTCCTAACCAAGCCTATATATATATATATATATATATATATATATATATATATATATATATATATATATATATATATATATATATATATATATATATATATATATATATATATATATATATATGGTATAATGAGTTTTAACTATTATGTAGTTAAAACTCATTATACCATATATATGATATATATATATGGTATAATGAGTTTTAACTACATAAAGTTTCATACAAACTTGAAAGTGTTCGGATTTTTTGATTTAAACATTTTCAGATAAAAGTTTAAATATCACATATAAATTGGGATTAATTAGAATTTTGGGTTGATGCAGTGCACATAATATGGATGAAATAATGAAATTTGTTGTTGAAAGTATTTTTAAAATATCGATGAAAAAAGATTTTGTTGCATCTACATAGGATGAAGCATCTTGAAGTGTGTGACACTTTATGAGAAAAAACATGCTATAGAAGGCTTAAGTGGCATGTGTGATGAAATAATGAAAATGATTCTTTTAACAAATATGCTAATTTTGAAGTTATAAATGATGAGTGTGAAGACGACATTGACTACAATGATTTACTTAAGAACTCACACAAATTGATAAAATACATTAAACTGTCAAGTGTTCCAAAACAAGTTTTTCAATCACAAGTCAAAAAACTTTATCAGAATTTAGAGCAGATTTAAATTTAGCCAATAATGTAGACTTCGATGTCTTAAAAGATTTATTAGAAGCAATTAAAAATATTAAACTAGCTATAGAGAATCTTAGTAGAGGTGATGCAACACTATTGAATGCTGACACTATTAGAATTCATGTTTGAAAAACGTTTTTTAGTTAACAAAGAAATTAGCAAAAAATTGATGGATAATTTGAGAAATATAGTTGATAAATGCCTGAATAAAGATCTTATGAATTTATTACGCTGTCTAAAGAGCTTTACAACAACTTCATCTAGAGATGCGATAATTTTTGCAGCTTTAGCATCTCTACTTTTTGGTGCTCATGTTAATGTTATTGAAGCAACTTCCAGTAACTTCAAGTAACTTCCTACAGATGAAATTTTAACTCTACTAGAAAAAACTTTATGTATAGCTCAATAAAAATAAAAAATAAAAAATAAATCTTCTAGTGTTTCTCAGGATAGAACAATTTCAGATGATTAAAAGCTAAATTTACTCATTTTAAGAATACAGGCTAATGTACAGGCAAACTTACAAAAGCTTTATGATGCATTATTAACAATTAAGCCCACATCTACGGCTTATGTTGAACGAGTATTCTTTGTGCACATTAACTTTTGTACAAAAATAAGATCACATTAGTCATTATCAGTTCTTTTATTGAAATACTATTATAAAAAGTAAAGTTTATGCTATCTACATGCATCTACAGCTTATGTTGAAGAAAAAAGTAAAGTTTATGCTAGAACATAAAGAATTAAAAAAAATTGTACTGTTGAATGTTTAATACAAGGGAGGGGGAAGGGGATAAAAGAGGGGTACAAACTTAAAAAACAGTAAAAGCAGTTGTTTCTAAAAATTCAAAAACAGTAAAACAGCTATTTTTTATAAAACATTGTTTTTCAGAAAACCTACCCAAAACACCATATGGATGCAAAAAAAAATTTATTAAAAAAAAGTCTATATACTATAGTGTATAATGTAACAAATGTTACATTATACACTATAGTATATAGTAGATGTATGTGTGTCTATGTGTGTTTGTGCACGTGTGTGTATTTTTAATAAAATATTCATTAATAACTAGAATTTAATCAAAGCCTAACCGAATCGAAGATATCAGTGAAAATTTTTAATTAGGTTTAACTATATTTGACGCAAAGTTATTTTATTTTCGTGAGTTCAAAAGTTTGGAATTTTTATTCAAGAATTAAATGTTTTGTTATTATATGCACTTTTATGCAACTCAATTTGAAAGTCTGAGTTAAGCAAAGTTTTTTGCAAAGAGACCCCAAAAAACTGTACGAATATGCGTGTGTGCCTGCATGTGTGACAGTTTATACATTGATACTGTTTTGCAGTTTTTCAAGAAAGTGATGAGTTAAATCAGAGCTCAAAAAATATGTGTTGAAAACACATATGAAAAACTATGTAATAACATTATTGTTATGCGTGCATGTGGATTGTTTAACTAAATCTTTGGGTTTGTGAATTACATTAGAAAGTTTTTTGTTTTAAAATTTATGATTGATCTATTTTTCCACAATCACTTTAACCTAAACATCCTAGTTTTTTCTGACAAAACTAACTTTACCAAAATGTCCTGAAAATCACACCAAACTTCTAAAGTAATAAAATCATAAAAACATACAAAAAGTCCCTTAAAAAACCCTAAAAAAAGCCCCTAAAAAACTCTATAACCTTTGAAGCAAAAAACTAAATTAAACATAAACAAACAAATCATCATCTTTGCCAAATCAGAAGTATTTATTTTATTATAAAAGACAATAATAATTTCTCAAATCAAAAACCTAGCTGCCTAATAAATCCTGCATTATCAGCAAAACATACTTAGACCAAAATAACAAAGTTAGGAAAACAAGAACTAATAATTGGGGAAAATCTAGACAAATATTTTTGGAGCATTTATGAACAGTCACACAAAAAGGATGAGACTTAATTGAACAACAAGTAGCAGGATAATGAATTTTAAAAGATGGCACAAGAGACGCTAGCTCTTTAGAGCAGTGCCAATTATAGCATTTGTAGAAAAGATAAAAAGAAGCAACATTATGACGAATTTGTAATGGTTGGAGGTTGGCTGCAAGAGCAGGTCCAACTATGTTTACAATGCATTTTTGCACCTTGTCTAAAAGAGAAAAAGCATCATTGGAAAATCTGCCCTAGATATGGCAACTGTAATCCATACAAGGATGGATTTGAGATTTATAACGATAAAGAATCCAGAGTAAGAGAAGTGTCAAGAAATGCAATCTTAGCAGATGCAAGCTTAGCAACGGATTTGATATATGGATTCCAAGTAAGATCGGAAGTAAGAGTTAATCCTAGAAGATGAAGGGTAGATGACACATCGAGTATATTACCATTCATAAATATAGGAAGATCTAAATTATTAAGGCTTAACAAAATTCATAAATTTAGGAAGATCTAAATTATTAATGCATTCATCAATATAGAAAGATCTAAATTATTGTGATGATTGGTTGAAAATTGGATCTGAATTAAAGTTCACCAGTCACTGTGAGCTCCATGCTGTAGTTAAAGTGAGATCCTTTTCAAACTCAAATACCCCCTTCAAGCAATCAGAGAGTGTTGGCTTTTTATCAAGACAAGAATAAATGGTAGTATCATCAGCAAACAATCCCACCTTAGATGTAAGAATATCTGAAAGGTCATTAACGTAAATTAAAAAGAATATAGGGCCGAGGATAGATCAAGAAACCCCTGAAATTACAGGATATGAAGAAAAATACTGTCCATTAAGGACAACTTTTATACTACAATTGGAAAAGAAGGATTCAATAATCTTAAATATGTTACCTGATACACCGTCAGAAGAAAGCTTATGGAGAAGATCAGCATGCCAAAGCTTTATAAAAAACTTTAGAAGGGTCAAGAGCGATAGCCTTAACCTCTCCACTAATACACAATAAGACTTATCAGTTATAGAAATATCAAGAGCGATAGTCTAAACATCTAATACACAATAAGACTTATCAGTAATTACTGGTAACAAATCAGCTGTAGAACAAGAAGATCGAAATCCATACTGATGATCAGAAAGTAAGTTATTAGATTCAAGATGATTGATTAAGTGCTTTTTAATTGAAGATTAAAAAAACTTTCTTATGATTGGAAGAAGACTAATGGAATGGTAGTTAGATGAATCAGATTGCTCTACAGAATTTTTGAAAATAGGGATAACAGATGCCGTTTTCCAGCATGCCGGAAAACAAGACTCTGATAAGCAATTGTTAAATAGTTTTGAAAGTATAGTGACAGCTTCGGAGAACACTTTTGCAAGTCTACAATAGGTATGTTGTCTGGACCAATAGCTGTAGTCTTAGCAGGAAATCACTTCAGATACAAAAGTTGGAGTAATACAAGTGTCAAGCAATAGATCAACCTGTTTGACGGCTATATCAGGTAGAATGCAACTGGTGGAATCAAGAGATGATATTGATGAAAAGTTCCTAGCAAACAATTCAGTTTTGTAATTATGTGAGGTGAGAAAATCTAAACCATACAAGGGAGGTGGAATAAAAGATTTGCCCTTATTTTTGATACTGTTAAAGATTCTCCAGAAGTCACGAGAGCCTAATTTTTGAAATAAAATACTAGATTTGATGACCTGAGAATAGCGCGCTTTGGCATTTGACAAAACCTTTGTAAAATGGTTTCTAGCAATAGTAAACAGGCATCTGTTTTCTGGAGAATTGTTTTGCTAATAGATATGAAAGTAATGATTTCGATCGAAAATTGCAGCAGCACAATGTGAGAAAAACTATGCAGAAGAGTGAGGCTTGACTTGGAATGGTTGAGAGGAAATAAAAAATTCCATGCCAGCACGAAGTTATGTAAGAAGCACATTTGTCAGTAAGAAGACAAAAAATTTCTACCCAAGGGCTATCATGAAAAAAATTATGAAAAGAATTCCAGTCAGCTTTAATGTAGTTGTAAGAAGTAGGATGATAGGGGGATTCTGATGATGAAGAATGAGATAATAGTTTTATAGAGTGATCAGAAGCACCTAAAGTTGAGTGTGGATAAACTGAGCATTGACTAGGATCAGAAACAAGATATAAGTTGAGTAGAGAAGGTAAATGATTCAGATTGTCTGGAAAGTGAGTTGGAAAATTGACTATTTGAGTAAGAGATTGAAAAAGGCAAATGTTGTGGGTTTTAATGCCTGCAGAGTCATCGACACTAGAGCCAAGCCATTCAGTGTGATGAACATTGAAGTCACCAACAACAATAATATTGGCTGATGGATAAAGAGAGAGGGCTTGGTCAATATGATCAAAAATAACATCAAGAAGAGTGCAGTCTTGAGATTAGGGAGAAAGGTGATAGAGTGGAGTGGTGCTAAGCGAAAGCACATAAAAGATTAGTCTGTGGATTCAAACCTAGTTTCCAGACATATGAGTGAATACTTACAAATGTAAATGCCCAGGCTAAGCATGTGACTATTCGAGTTTTTACGAATTAAAGGAAGATAACCATCAACACTAAGATCACAAAATAAGAAAGCAGAACTTAAAATTAAATTCTCACAAAGATCAAGTAGGTCTGGTGAACTTTGCAAGAGATAAAACTCGACAGAAGAAAAGTTACTTTTAAGAACATGGTGATGAAAATGGTTTTTTGTGTTTTATAGTTTTTGGTACTTTATTCATTTTTAAATTTGTTAAAAAACTTGACACAAAGCATAGATAGTACTCAGTACACTATCTAATAGTCCAAGTAATTGCCTCATTACTTATTAATAAACCCTAAGCTGTAACAAAGGGCTCCAAATGTGGCCTAGACAATGCGCACCAAAAGCACGAACAGGGAAACCATACATGTGCAACATGGCACTGTTAGTACTTCAATATTTTATAGCTGTTGATGGAATCAACATCTCTGTGAGCTACTACAGAGTTCGGGAAACCTGACTACCAGCTGGCCTCAAAACCATACAACTGAGTTTTAGAGCAGTACCTTCATTAGGAGATAATAGAATAAGTTGCCTAGTCATTAAAACAGAGACACAAGCAAAACCTATGCATTAAGTCAAAAAGATTTCATGTCTATAAGAAACAAAAGAAAAATTTAAAGAAACACAGAAGTTAAAATGGTTCACCCAACGAAGCTAACTGAGGCCTTGTTTTAAATAAAAAAATGATTAATGCAATAGCCTAATGTGAATTTGACGTCATAAAATTCTCTTTTTATTTTTTAAAGACATTAACTTTTTTAAATTACTGCAAAACGAGTTGAACGTTAATTAACTTCTTTTTTACTTTTACTATAAGGGAATGTTTATTTCATTTTTTTTTTTTTTTTATATTAAATAATTAAATTTAATATTACATTTTTAAAAACGTTTGGTATTAACAAATTTCTTTCTTTTCAAGACATTTACATAAATTAAAATATGTTAAATTTTTGAATTTTTAAAAAATTATTTCCTAAATTTTTAATTGTCTTTGTTTGTGAAAGTAAAGATTATTTTTCTAAACATCATTTATCAAAATTATATCGCTGTATGTACAGTTTATTAAAAAATAAATGCTGTTATTTAACTTGCGTTATAAAAAAAAAAAGTTTAACTTACATTTTGTGCAAATTTTTTATGCAGCTGTTTATTCAAAATTTAATTTTGAGTAAAAAAAAAATGTTTAGGAAGAAAAACCGAAAAAACAATAAAAATAAAATTGCAACAAAAATGAGCTAATTTTTTTTTAAGAACAAACAAATTGAAAATATTTTTATATATTCAAATCAAATTTATTTAAAATTTAAATCAAATTTATTTAAAATTTATTCAAATTTATTTAAAATTTATTCAAATTTATTTAAAATTTAAATCAAATTTATTTAAAAATATTATTAAATATTGTTATTGAACAATATTGTTCAATAACAATATTTAACAATATTTTTAAATAAATTTGAAAGTTAAACCCAAGCATTAACTTTAATTTTAACAAAATTTAATATTATTTAAATCAAAATTAAATTTTATATTTTTTAAATCAAAATTAAATTATATATATTTTTGTTATCAGAATAAAATTATACATTTTTATTAAATTAGTTTTAAATTAAATCATACATTTTTTATCAGAATTAAATTAAATTATCTTTTTTTCAAGCTTAAAGTACTAGCATTTTTCAAGCAATAAAATCAATAATTACAATTAAAATAAAAAACAAAATAAAAATAAATTTTTAATTTCATTTGAGTTTTTTTTATTTGTAAATAGCGCTTATATCTAACATAATTGTCATTCAAACTTTTGTAACAAATATTTTTACATAAACATCATTCAAAAGTTAATGTGACTTTTTTTTTAATTAATTACTTCTTTTATCTTACCGCTTATAGAATAATTTAAAAGTTAAAAAATGATAAAAAGTCGCTTAACCAAAATCAATTACTGTTTATGTAAAATCGCTGAAGGCATATCACTCTACGCATAATGCTTTAAAACAAGGCCTTCTAACTTCTAAATGCTGTCATGAAATTAATTTATATTAATTTTGTTTAAAATGGTTTTTATTAAGTAATCACAAACTTAAAGATTAGTTAAGTAGAACAATCAACATGTGCATAACAATAGCGTCGCGTAACAAAACAATCAACATAGCGTTGCAACATAACAATAGAGTTGCAACATAACAATAGCGTTGTGTAACAGAACAATCAACATAGCGTTGCAACATAACAATAGCGTTGCAACATAACAATAGAGTTGCAACATAACAATAGAGTTGCAACATAACAATAGCATTGCAAAACAGAACAATCAACATAGCGTTGCAACATAACAATAGCGTTGCAACATAACAATAGCGTTGCAACATAACAATAGCGTTGCAACATAACAATAGAGTTGTAACATAACAATAGAGTTGCAACATAACAATAGCGTTGTATAACTATTTCTTTTGTAATCATTGGGAAAAAAAAACATTTTACATAATGATTGTGAAAAAAAAAACTATTTTACCTAATGATTGTGAATAACATGAAACTAGTGGTTGTAAAAATCATGTGATTTTATTTTCAACATAAATACACACACAATATTATTAACCTTAAAAAGAATTTATCAAAAATCAAGGGATTTTTTACCTCTTTTAGCTCCTCAGCTTGAAAATCATGCTCTTTAGCTTGTTGTGAATTACTTCTTGAAAGACGAACCCGTTTGCTCAGAAGTTCTTTTTCAGCTAACTATAAAAGTTTTTTTACTTATATTAGAATTTATTTTCATAAATACTTTATTAAATTGGTACTGCTAATATAGACCTAATACATAAACACTTTAGTCTTCAATATTAGATTAAGGTGAAATTTTTTTAATGATATAAAAGCTGTTTATAAACACTAGTAACAAACAGTTGGCTAGTATCTATACAGTAGCCAACTAATTGAAAATGTTGACTGTTGTATAGACACTAATTAAAAATGTTGACTGCTGTATAGATATTAATTGAAAATGTTGACTGCTGTATAGACACTAATTGAAAATGTTGACTGCTGTATAGACACTAATTGAAAATGTTGACTGCTGTATAGATATTAATTGAAAATATTGACTGCTGTATTGACACTAATTGAAAATGTAGACTGCTGTATAGACACTAGCTGAAAATATTGACTGCTGTATAGACACTAGCTGAAAATATTGACTGCTGTATAGACATTAGCTGAAAATATTGACTGCTGTATAGACACTAGTTGAAAATGTTGACTGCTGTATAGGTACTATTGAAAATGTTGACTGCTATATAGACACTAATTGACAAGTGCCTATAAAGTAGTCAACTAGTTATAGACATTAGTTGAAAAAAATTAAAATAAATCTAGAGATTGAAACTTTAAGTTTCATTTTGTACTTTTAGTCTTTTTTAAAAAAGAGCCTAAAAATGGTTTTGTTATGTAAAATGAGCCAGCATGAGTCAATTTTATAAATCAATGAATAACGACACTTTTATTAAGTCCAGAGAGTTATAAAATTGGTTCTAATCTTAACTTTCTGCCCCAGGAAAACCCTTTGGTGGAATGATAGCCCTTGCTATGGGGATCACTTAGATATAAGTTTCAAAATCAGATTACAATGTCCTTGCAAACTATTTACATTTGAATTTTCATCCTAGTTAACACAAAACATGTTTTAAATGTTTTATATATGTATTAATACATTTTAATATGTATTATAGACGTATTAAACAAGTCTTAGAATATTAGCGTTGAATAGAATACTTATTGATTGCACAAACATGCAAAATGAGAGCTTATTTTCCTTTTTATAGTATTAAAAATCTCTAATTTACATAAATATAAACAAAGAAAGCAAAATATTATATTCTTGAAGTTATACAAGTAACAAACATAAAATATATTTAACAAAAAAACTGTTTCTTTTAAATGGAACAAATTCAAAAATAATTTATTTATAAATCCCTTCTTAAAATGACTTTTCACAAACAATGTTTACTATTGAAGTCAACAATGCAATATTGCAACTTCTTTGTATCTTTGTTAATGTATCTGAAAGTTGTGATGCATTGCTTGTTGCCTGTTCTGAGTAAAGCCCAAGAGCCTGACCATGTCTGTTGATAAAATCTTTTACATGAAAAAATACTGCATGAACATTGGGTGTTACAGACACATTTTGCGATGCCAGATAAGACACTCTGAATGCTTAAACTATTTGTGGGTAGTTTGGATTAATGATGCATCCAAAACAGCCAGATACTACTGCATTAAAATTTTGAAAAGCATCAATGAATGGCTGCATAGCATGAGTGTTTCTCAGCAATTGATTGAAGAATATCAATATTGTGTAGCAGCTTTCTGGACTCAATTCCTGCAAAATGTCCACTATGGTAAGACTGTTGTTTAATCTGTAATACATCAGTCCAAAGAGTAGCTCGAAGAAAAACTTTAGTAGTAGCGCAGCAAAAAGATGACTTAACAGTAGCGCAGCAAAAAGATGATTAAAAACTTCAATTAGGAAATGCAATTCCATGGGAGGAAGAAACTTCGAAACCAAAGTGTCTCCAGGTAGTTTAAATATAGGAGAATGAACAAAATTTTTGTAGTCATGAGCTTTTCTGATTTTGGAACTAATCATAGTTTTGCAATGAAGAAATGCAAAATAAGCTGTCATTTCGCATGTTTGTGCAATCAATATATTTTATGTTTGTTACTAGTATAACTTCAAAAATATACTACTTTGCTTTCCTTGTTTATATTAATGTAAATTTGAGATTTAATACTATAAAATTGAAAATAAGCTCTCAATTTGCATGTTTGTGCAATCAATAAAGTATTCTATTCAACGCTAATATTCTAAGACGTGTTTAATACGTCTATAATAGGTTTTAATATGCATTAATATGTATATTAAACGTTTAAAACACGCTCCGTGTTAACTAGGATGAAAATTCAAATGTAAATAACTTGCCAGGACATTGTAATATGATTTTGATACTTATATCTAAGTGATCCCCAAAGTAAGGGCTATCATTCCACCATAGGGTTTTACCGGGTCAGAAAGTTAAGGTTAGAACCTATTTTATAACACTGTGGTCCACTATTCTATATCATCTTGAATTATCTTTCACTACTGACTTTTCATTGAAAACCTCAGATCTATTACAAAGTTAACATCTGCTTTTTTATTGTGCCTTTTTTATTGTGCTTGGCATTTTATAAATCCTGATTCTGTACTCTAACTCTATTGATCTCTTATCTTTTCTTGAATGTAATACTGTTGTTATATTTTGACTAGGTCTTCTAATAATGGCCTTTCTCTTTTAGAAAAGGTTTATATAACACATAAATGTAGTTACTCTAGCATACAAGTTTGAGTGCCATGCACAATTTTGTAAAGGTTACATCACTTACCAACAATGTTGTAAAGGTTGCATCTCTTATCATTAAGTACTACCATGGTCAATTGTTTTGCTGCTAAAAAAATTTCTCAAATCTTTTGTTCTGCCTATCAGCAAACTCTTATTTACTTTTCCTTCATGCTAAAAAAAATTTAATTTATCTAAATTTTTTCCTTAAACATTATTGTTTTGAAATTCTGTCTTTATGTATTACTAGCCCACATAATTTGCAGCTTTAAAGGCTTTCTGTTATGTTTTACCAAGGACGTATTAATAGATGGACGTTTAACCCATTGTTATAGATCTGAGGCGCCGCAAGTAAACAAAAACCTATGCGAGCTATAATTTTTAGCGTCGTTTTTCTGAATAATTTCTAAAAGTAAACCGACGTTTTTCCAATAATTTCGCTTTTCTAACTACTTTTTTTAAAAAGTACAATTACCTACAAAACTCTAACATTTTTTAAAAATTAATGCATAATAGTTATACAGAAATAGCTCATCTGTTTTAAAATGTCAAATTTGATACGTGAGCACTTTTTAATAAGAACTTATTATTAATAAAACTTAGACGTCAAAAATCATATTTTTGTAAAAAAGTGATATTTAGTTTGCAAGAATGAATACTGCAAAGTGAAACGAATTTTCTAGATGTTGTAGGTAAAACTGTAGATCATATATAGATCGAACTATAGATTACTTGTGGTCTCTATTCCCTACACTTAGTTTTCACTATTATTTTAAGTATTTAAATTTCTCATTTTTGTCTGAAATTTTGTCTCACTTACAATTTTGTTTTAATATTTTTCTGTGATTAACTCTTTTTTTCCATATAAAGATTTCGCTTGAGTTTATAGATCATATTATGAAAAGGTTTTATTTATTTAAAAACTTTTTAGATTTTTTAGGTGTAATGTAATCTTTAAATATTTTTAGGTTAGACGAGACTATTGTTATTTTGACATAAAATCAAGTAAAAATATTCTCAAGTTAAAAATAGTTCTCTATTGTTTTGCTATTGTTATTTGTAACAATGAATAGCGCAGATATCTTGGCTTTTAAACAATACATTAAACGTCCATCTATTAATACGTCCTTGGTTTTACTGACCGACATAATTTGCAGCTTTTAAGGCTTTCTGTGTTTTTACTCTTTAAATCTAACTTCCTAGTAATTCCTTCTACTTCCTAGTAACTCCCAACTTAAACAATGGTTGCCTGCAGCTCTGTTGGTAGTAAAAAAGAAAAAAGAAATGTATAATACTACTTCAAGGTTATAAATTTTAGAAATTTCTTTCTGGTAAACTTTTCTGCAACTCATTTTGGTTTGTCAAACATAACCAATGAAACCAAAAAAAAAAATAAATGTCATTTTCACATTGTGAATAATAATTCAAACAAAATTACTTAATGTAATTAGTTAATGTTTTATGCCAGACAAGTGTCAGACAATGTCTTATGTCTGCCCACTGTTTCAAGCCTGTTTTCACTTACATTGATTACACCGGAAAAGTAAATAAAACAAATATGTTAAATATTTTATTAATTTCTGACATAATACAAACAGGTCATTTGTAATAGTTATTTTAAAGGTCATTCCAGTACTTAATAGTGCACTGAAATAACCAGCATTTGTAAAATAAATAACAACTTGATAGTACTTAAATAACTGGTTATTTCAGTACAATCAAGTTTTTTTTTTGTACAGTATAAATATATATTTTGCTGTGCTGAAATAACCAATGGTTCTGAAATAACCAATTATTTCAGTTCCAAAACGCCTAGTTATTTTAGTACTTTGCCACCTTGTTAGCTAAAACATAAAAAGATGAAAACAATGAGAAAAAAAATAACTACATGCAAACTGATGTATATTTATTCAAGAAAAATTATTTTTGATAACATAAATCTATAAAAGTTCATAATTTCATACCTCTTAATGCAATCATAAAATCTTTTACTTAATAACAAAACAAACAATAACAAAAAATAATTCAAAACAAGAACTACTGCCTTAAATAAAAACTTTTTTTCGCCCTGGTTATTATCTTCCCTACATATAAGACAAGGAATGTTGATAATCAGGCAAAAATTACGCAAGTAAGACTGAATCCTCAAAAAAAAAAAATTAAAAATTTTTCATAAATATCAAAAACAGTTTGTTTTGTATAATATTAAAGAAAAATAGAAGTTTTTTCTGGTTTGAGTGGTTTCTTAAAATAAAATTGGGATCCCTAAAACTTTTAAAATCACTATGAAATTTAAAAGACTTGTCTTTTGAAATAGAAACAACTTCTAAGACCCATTACATTGTATAATTACACAAAAAAATATTTTTCACTTCACTCAAGTATATAAAAAATTGACTTGCTCTATTAAAAAGTATTTCTAATTTTTTTTTTTTTAATTATATAATATAATTAAGTAATTATAACTTTATTTTGATTGAAAAATATTAGGATACATAAAAATGTATTAAAAGCAAGCAGTATATTGAATCTTATAAAATATTAGGATTCATAAAAATGTATTAAAAGCAAGTTGTATATTGAATCTTATAAAATATTAGGATACATAAAAATGTATTAAAAGCAAACTGTATATTGAATCTTATAAAATAACACTTCATAAATAAAATTTTGGACAAAATTTAAAAATTAATATTTTAAGAACAAGTAAGTTTTATTATCTAATATTTCAACTGTTAATATGTTAGTATATGTAGTTTATAAACATATTAAAATAATTATTTTCAAATATCATATTTAGCAATATTATAAACTTTTTTTGAAAGATGTTTTATTTGAGTAAAGGAAATTTCTTTATTCATTTTTGAATAGCAATATCTAATTCTTGCTTCAAACTCTTCCAAATTCTCAGCTCTCCAATTATTCTTGTACACTAGCCGTTTTAAATCACCTTAAAAGTTTTCAATTGGTCTTGCTTCTGGAACATTAGCTGGGTTTATATCTTTGGGTACAACTTTGATTTTTTTCAATTTTAAAAAGTCGATGACCAAATTTGTGTAATGTGATCGAGCTAGATCAGGCCAGAAGATAAACTCACTGTCTTTTTTATAATATTCTGATACTAGAGGAAGTAAAGTTTTTTCTAGTATCTCTTTATAAGTGTACTCGTTGATTGCCTGCTTGTTGTGATGAATATAAAGAGGGCTTATTCGCCGGGGGCTGATGCAACAAGAAACTAAATGCTTGTCCTTGTACTTTTTACCCAAATTGTATCTTACTTCGTCAGAACATTGAGAAGGATCAGCGGCATAAAACATATCACTACCAGCTAATATGCTATTGTTTAAAGTAAAATAGCTTTCATAATCCATAACAAAATCCAAGTTTTTATAATTTTCGTACAATTTATGACATTTAGGACGCAAAACTTTCTTCTGCTGAAGACTACGATCTGGACAATTTGTTTTTTTGAAAGTTCGAATGTTACTCATTGTTTTTAATACTTGGAAAATTTGAGTTTGACTACAGTTGAAAACTTGAGCTGCTTTCTTTTGGGAGCACCCTGACTTATTTTCAAAAAATGCAGAAATTTTTGGAATATTTTTTTTAGTAGCTACCTTAGCGTTTGGACCACTTCCAACTTTTCTTTTTAGAGATCTATTCTTCAATTTTATGATTTTATCGTAAGCAGTTGATTTGGGTAAACCCCATTTTATAAACTGTTTAGCAACAAATGCTTTACCTTTTTCTGGATTTTTTTGGAAAAAAATTTCCATCATTTTTTCGAGGTCCTTTACTTTGACCATTTTATTTTCAATATTTAATATTTTTAACTTAAACTAAATTTAAATAGATTATAAAATCCTCTTTCAAATGAGTATAAAGGTTTTTTGCGTGCATGAAATAAATTACATAATAAATGCAATTAAAATTTTAATTATAGAGTGTTATTAGGACACATAAAAATGTATTAAAAGCAAACTGTATATTAAAAGCAAGTTGTATATTGAATCTTATAAAATATTAGGATACATAAAAATGTATTAAAAGCAAACTGTATGTTAAAAGCAAGTTGTATATTGAATCTTATAAAATATTAGGACACATAAAAATGTATTAAAAGCAAGTTGTATAATGAATCTTATAAAATAATAGGATACATAAACATGTATTAAAAGAAGTTGTATATTGAACCTTACAAAATAATCTACTAAGCATCTTTATTATTGCAAAAATACGTCAAATTTGACTATGACAATGTCAAATTTGACGTCAAATTCTTTGCTCAATAAATGATTAATTCTTTGTTATACCTTTTGTTTTTGTTGCAAAGTGAGAATACCAACAGTCGAGTTACAAATTATTTGACGACCATCATCAGCAGTATAACTAAAGCTTTCATCTAGTAAAATAGGAGGTGTTCGACTTGAATCACTGCATGCAAATGTAAACAGATTTTTAAGAATTTTTTTATTTGGGCATGGGGTTTTATCAATGCATAAAGTTAAAAGTTGAGAAAGAGCAATGGCCATTCTTTTCTAAAATAAGTTTTAAATAAAATTTTTACTAATTAAATTAAACTAATAAAACACATTTTCTTTTTAAAAAAAAAATATATTAAACTACCAATTTATTTAAAACATTAAAAACCTGTAATTGGACTTCATCCTCCTGTTTTATTGAATCCATAATTGGTCGTATAACAGGATTTAATTTATCAGTTAGTTTATTGTATGCAATCAAAGTTGCAGCAACACTTGCCTGAACTCTAGAATAGTAATACTAATTTAATTAATTAAAAAAATCAGACAAAAAAAGAAAATCAATAAAAACACAGTAAAACCTTGTATGAAGCTTCATAAATAAGACAATAAAAAAAACATCAATAAAAGCAATAACCTTGTATGAAGTTTCATAAACTCAGCTTTCATATTTGATATAGTTATGATTAATGTTCGTTGTTTGGAATTTGCTAACTTTGCAAACTTAGGAGAAAGTTTTACAACTTCTTTTTGAAACTGAACTGTTCCAATATCAGTTGCAGTATCAAGGTTAAATGATCCTATTGGTATTCCGCAAGATATGTCTATACCATGTTCACTGAAAAAGTATACAAGTGATTGCGAATCAGATTGTAAACGCTGGTGGTGAAATATAAGTTCTTCATATATTATTTGTTCTGTAAGAATTGCATTAAGCCGCAAACTTAGTGAATTTGTTAGCATTGCATTCTGAAAAAAAAAAAAAAAAATTAAATAAAAATTAAACAAAATTAAAAAAAAAAATCAAAATTATTTATATAAAAATAGCTTAATATAAATACTAAGTGAAACATTTTCCGAATGTTGTTGTTAGCTTAAGTTCAAAAATCAAAGTAATATAGATAATTGTGATAGATAATTATAAAGTAATATAGATAACCATTATAGATTATAACATTTTTAGAATGTTGTTGTTAGCTTAAGTCCAAAGTAATATAGATAATTGCAATAGATAATTATAAAGTAATAGAGGTGCATGATTTTGTTAATACTATTATAAGTAATATTTGATATGAAAAGTATTTTTTTTATTATAGTATGTTATTATAGTTTATTATGATTTTTTTTGTTCATTTAGAATTTCTTTAGTATAATATGATGCATGTATTTCTTTATTAAATTGTAATTCTTTTTTTTAATTGTTATCTTCTCTAATAATTTTCTCGGATTATCAAAGAGATTATAAAACTGTGTATGAGTTGGACAAATCAGACATGGGCTTTCAGTTGCCACATCCTTCATTTACAGGAGGTTTAGCATGACAGCTGGAAGAAAACCCAGCTTCAACTTTGATTATCTGAATATAAAGTAGGCAAAAGCTACATCAAAGTAAATTATTACTAAACTTTAATGTAGATATTTGTTATTACTCTTTTCTTAATCAACTTTATTTCTTTTTGTAATTTTTTAATACTTCTAAGTATAAATTAGTTTAAATTTATAATCATATATAATTTCAACAAAAGTATAAATTAATATATAATTTATATAAATCTAACCAGTTAGATTATATTATCTCTGATGTGAAGTCCAATTATCCTATAAGTAAACATTATATCGAATTTCTATCATGTTGAGTACTAAATCTGTTAAAACAATAATACCTCCAAGGTACAACATACATACCTCCAAGGTAAATATATATATATATATTTTATTTGCTTAGCTTTTTTTATTTAATTAAAAATTTTAAAAAAATTTTTAATTAATAGATACCCAAACCAATACTCTCAGTCAATGTAGCAACACTCTTCACATGTTTTACCTATTTGTCAGTTGAGGTAGCAACTTGCCTAGAATGATCTACCTATTTGTCAGTCGATAAATGTAAACAGTCACAAAACAAAAAATAAAAACATTTAAAATGTTTTGTTTTTATTGAAAAAATTAAAACATTCTGAATGTTTTTAAAAACAATCCAGTCAATTTTAATCTGTCTTTCTTGTGGTTTTTTAAAAAAAGATAGATTTAATATGTTTCCTCAATTAAATTTAATGGTTTTAACATAAAGTGTACTTAATTTTGCCTTCTTTAAACATAGTTGTTAAGAGCTGATTAGAGAGTTTTAAACATAGTTGTTAAGAGCTGTTTTTTTTACCACAAACGATAAGTTTAAATGTCAAACTATTGGCAATAAACAAAATATAGTCATAAATAAAAAGAAAAAAAGAAAAAAACTGCCTGCTCAAACACTTACTATCAGTCAATGCATGTACACTCATGCATGTACACTACATATACATATATATATATATATATATATATATACATATATATATATATATATATATATATATATATATATATATATATATATATATATATATATATATATATGTATATATATATATATATATATGTATATATACATATATATTTGTGTATATATGTGTATATATGTATATGTATATATATATATATATATATATATATATATATATATATATATATATATATATATATATATATATATATATATATATATATATATATATATATATATATATATATATATATATATATACATACATATATATTAGGGTACAGTGAATTTTATATGTTTTTGAAAAAAATAAAATTAAAGCTTAGGAAAAGGTGTATTCTTATGTAAAATTAAATTTTAAAGTAGGTTGACTATGGACGGCTGTTTCACTCAATATAATAGCGAGCCTGACGTCACGAGTTTATCAAAAAAAAAAGTATTTCCGCATAAAAAGTATAAAAATTCATTAACTTTAAAATAATAGTATTTTTTTTCTATAAATGCTTTCATCTTCAAATAAAAAAAATATAAAAGATCTATCTTTCCTTGTTAAATAAACATTTACATTAAACGGAATAAAAATGAAAGCTGTAAAAATATTGTTAATAATTTGGCATCACTTTTCTGAATTTTGCGATTTTTACGCAAAACCTGTCTTAGGCCAACTAAGATTTGATAACATAGCTACATGGTCGATGGTTGAAATTTAGAACAGTTATTAATGAATGTCTGTTCTATCTAGATTTCCACAGACTTTGCAAGTTTTTATATAGAAAGTTAGTTTTTAATGCATTTATATTTTTGTTTTTATTCGTTTTGAATAAAAAACATAACATTTTTGAAAAGTCTGTGGATTTAGTAATACTTCAACCTTATATGAATAAGAAAATCAAAAAATTATTTTCTGTACCTCTAGCTATGTTATCAAATATGTTTTCAAACTTGGCATGTTTAGCGACATTTTTTTTAGTTTTTTTTGCATAAATTCTTGTTTACATTTTAAAGCGGTGACGCAAACTCTGATCGCTATGTCCCCAACGATTATCGGATGCATTTTAAGAAAACAAACAAAACAAACGAGACACATTTTATAGAATAAATAACAAAGTTTCGCGGATTAATTTCTCTTGGATATTTGACTAATTTCAGATAAGTTGATTAATCCGATTTTATCTAGTGCATCTATTTGTCAATATTATTCTATTTAAGTTGTTTGTATTATAATTTTATTACTATATCAATAAAGATTATAAAGCAAAGTTTCGTGGATTATTTCCTTGTGGATATTCGACTGATCTCAGATAAGTTGCTTAATTCTTTTATTTTTAGTGTATTTATTTGTAAATATCATTTTATTTAATTTCTTTTATTATATTATTATTATAATATCATTATCATTATTTATGTGATGTATGCAACTGAGAAGGAAATTTTGAAACTGTACATCGGTTGGGAAGATGGTTGGGAAAATGAGTATAACTTTAATTTTGTAAAGCGAGTAATTGACACTAGTAAGATCACTATTAATGTGATTTCAATTTTATTAACAGTTTTTCATCCAAAAGCGTTGTTTACTTTTTTAAGTTTTCTTTTGCCAATTGAGTTTAATATGCCTAATATTGATGTGTTAAATAAAATGTGCCGAAAAATAAAACAAAGAAAAAAAGATTCTAAAAAATATTTTGAAGCTTCAAAATACGAAGCATTTTTTAAAATGCAACTGTCTCCAGCTCCACAAACAAAAAAACAAAAAAAATCAGCAGATGCAGATAATTTTTATATTTTAAATAGGAATAAGGAACTAAGTAGTCAAGTTGAACAATTAATTTCTAAAGAAAAAAATAATGTGGAGCAAATAGATAATTTAAAAATACAGGTATCAAAGTTGGAAACTGAAGTTATATATTTAAATTCTAAAAACAAGGCTCTCAACACACATTGTAACTCATTAAGTTCTCAATTAGAGACTATGAGTATTAGGCTAAAACAGGAGGAGCAGTTCCAATTTAAAAAAAAAAAAAAAATTAAAAACAGCACACCGTAAATTTGCATCTGCTTGTGCCAAAAATGTAAGATTGCTAAAAAAATTTAAATTTGAAAAAAAAAATGCAAAAATCAGTGATATAAACAAGAACAGTTGCCAAATTTGCAAATATTTTGCTAGCAGTGATAAGGATTTAGTTGTCGTTGATTCTTATTTAGACTATGACAACATTGGTTCCTCTGAATTATTCTGTGGGTTTAAATTAAGTAATCCACAGACTATATCAGTTAAAAAGCCAATAGTTGGTAAGAAATATACTTACATTAAGTTAGGAGATGGTAAATCTTATTCTAAGTTAGGTAGGCATGCTGCAGCTAGACGATCTAAACTTGCTTTTATATTCCTTTGATTATTAGCTTGTTCAGATTTGGAAAGTGATTTGTCTATGTTGTTTTGTGATTCTGTGTCTTGCGAAAAGTCTATGTTTCATTGTGTTGCAAATAAGTTGGGTTTAGTTAGGCAGTTAAGTGTTTCTGATGCTGTAGAGCTGCAGAGCCAATTAAGGATGCCCACGGCTGAATTCCGTAGGCTAAGACGTATTCTGTGTAATCTTGGTGCAAGGATTCTCCCATCTGAGCCCAAGATAAGACAAGAACAAGAAATGCGGACAATGCATGTTAGTAAAGAACATGTTACTGTAAAGTCCAAGTTGCTTTATCCATCTGCGAATGAAGCACCTTGTTTAGTACCTGTATTGATGGTCAAGAATTTGATAACTTATATTGAAGAGGTTTTCAATAGTCTGCAAGTTCGTGACCACTTCAATTCTGATGTCGGTTATTGCGAAGAGGTATGGCTCCTTTTTGCTGGGGATAAGGGTGGGAAGTATATGAAATTCCATTTTGAAGTTGTCAATTCTAAATCATCAGGGTCTGTATATGATGTTCATTTATTTTGTATGTATCAGGGTTCAGACTGTCGTGAGAATATTGCCTTAGGATCTTATATAATTTATCTTAGATGTAAAAAGTTTAATTTTTTCTTTAACTTTTCAAACATTTAAACTAAATTTGATGACCACAAACAAGACAAAGACCTTGTCTATAAAATGAATTTTCGCCACGCTCTGAACACACAACACACTTTCTCACCTTAGAGGCTTGAAGCTTCCTATCAGCTTTGCTGTGCAATTCAAAGCGTTTTAAAACAAGATGCAGCTTTTGCTCCTGATTTCTAACTGAATGCGTGTTCAGAGCGTGGCGAAAATTCATTTTATAGACAAGGTCTTTGTCTTGTTTGTGGTCATCAAATTTAGTTTAAATGTTTGAAAAGTTAAAGAAAAAATTAAACTTTTTACATCTAAGATAAATTATATAAGATCCTATAGGCAATATTCTCACGACAGTCTGAACCCTGATACATACAAAATAAATGAACATCATA